TGTGTGTGTGTGTGTGTGTGTGTGTGTGTGTGTGTGTGTGTGTGGTGCTAGGGACTGAACTTAGGGTCTGGGTGTTGTCTAGGAGCTTTTATTGGCTCATGGCTAGTTCTCTGTCTTTTGAGACACAGCATCACTTCTAGCTTTTTGGTAGTTTATTGGAGATAAGCTACGTGTGGACTTTCCCACTCTAGCTGGCTTTGAACTGAAATCCTCAGATCTTAGCCTCCTGAGTAGCTAGGATTGTAGGTATGAGCCACTGGCACTGGTATGTAGTATGTTTTGAAATAGGGAAAGACCTGACAAACTGGTTCTAGTTCTTTTTCAAGATTGTTTTGGCTATTTTGAGTTCCTTGCAGTTTCACTTTAGAAATGAATTTTGGAACCAGCTTGTCAAATTTTACTAATAAACCAGTTTAGGTTTTTGTAGAAATTATCTTGAATCTGTAAGTCAACTTAAGAAGTATTTCCATTCTAACTATACTACATCTTCCAATCTATGAACATATAATGCCTTTCTGTTGCTTAAAACCTTCAATTTCTTTTAAAATTTTGTACTTTGCAGAGTATAAATTTTACATGTGTTTCATTTAATTTTTTCTAACATTTTGTTTTGATGCTATTGGTAATAGAATTGTTTTCTCGATTTCATTTGCAGATTGTCTGTTACAGGTATGTAGAAACAAATTTGATTTTTGTAAATTGATCTTGTATCTTAGAATCATGCTGATTCTGTTGTTATCTATTAGTCCTAACAGTTTTGTGTAGAACTTTCTATATAAGATGTTGTCTGCTAATACAATTTTGTCACTTTTCGTAGAGATGGGTTTTTTTTTGCCTAATTGCCCTAGCTAGAACCTTATGTTCAGTTAGAAATATCTAGAGTTGGCTGTACTTTTTTTTCCCATGATCCTCAGGAGAAGACATCATTCTGTCACAGTATGATATTAGCTTCTGGGTTTTTGTTTTGAGATGCCCCTTATCAGGTTGAGGATAATGGGCATCTATTTCAATTCCTCACTTCTGAGTGATTTCTATCATGAAAGAGCATTAGATTTATTTTTATTTTTTGTCAGTCATGGGGCTTGAACTCGGGGCTTGGGTGCTGTCTCTGAGCTCTTTTTGCTCAAGGCTAGCACTCTACTGCTTTAAGCCACAGCACCACTTCTGCTTTTCTGGTAGTTAAGTAGAGATAAGGGTCTCACAGACATTCCTGCCTGGGCTGGCTTTGAACTGATGATCCTCAGATTTCAGCCTCCTGAATAGCTAGGATTACAGGCATGAGTTACCAGCACCTGGCACACATTCAATTTTGTCAAATTACTTTTCTGGATCTATTGATAATGATCTTAAAATTATTCTTTTAATATAGTATAGTATAGAATATGAATTGTTTTGGATGTTAAAGTAAGTTGCATTTCTGGATAAATCCCAGTTGGTTATGATGGTTAATCCTTTATATATGTTTCTGGATTTGGTTTGCTACTATTTTGTTGAGAATGTTTGCTTCTATACAAGAGGTATTGTTCTGGGTTTTTTTTTGTTATCTTGCAATATCAGTGTTGTTTTGATACCAGAATAATACAAAAAATGAATTGGAAAGTGTTCCCACCTTTTCTATTTCTTGAAATAGTTCATGAAGAACTCAAATTAATTCTTCTTTAAATGTTTGTTAAAATTCAATAGCAAAGCCAGAGGAGCCTGTAGTTTTCTTTGTGGATAGTTTTTGGAGTTTTATTTTGCAGTACTGGGGATTGAACTAAGGGCCTTGCACTTGCTAGGTAGGTACTCTACCCCTTGAGCCAAGCCTCTAGTTCCTTTTTGCATTGGTCTCTTTTTGAGGTAGAGTCTTGCTTTATGCCCATGCCAGCCTAGGTCATGATCATTTTTCTTGGTTTCCTATGTCACTGGAGCTGACAGGGGTGTATCACTGTGCCCAGTCTTTGTGCCTCTTCTATATCTGAAAACACAGGCACACTACTGTACCTGGTATCTAGCCATTGGTTGAGATGAAGTATCAAGAATGTCCTTTCACTTGGCCTAAAACAACAATCCCTTGATCACTTTGTAGCTAGGATTACAGGCTTTAGCCACCTCATCTGGCTCGTTGTGGATAGTTTACTGAATCCCTCTATATATTATGTCTATTTGGATTTCTTTCTTTTCCTTCCCTCCCTCCCTCCCTTCCTTCCTTTCTCTCTTTCTTCCTTCTGCTTCTTCCCCCTTTTCCTTCTCTCCTCTCTCTCCTCTCCCCCTCCTTTTCTCCTCTTTCTTCTTCTCCCCCTCTCCCTTCACCCCTTCCCTCCTTTTCCCCTCTCCTTTCTCCTTCCTCCTCTCCCCTTCTCCATCTCCTTTTCCTCTTCTTTCTCCTCCTCTTGTTCCTCCTCCTCTTCCTTCTCTCTTCCTTCTCTTCCCCCCTTAGCCTATTTTACATCTTCCTCCTCCCTCCTCTTCTTATCCTCCACCTGTATTGGGGTTTACTTAGCCGTTTTAGTCACAGCTGATACTTTATCACTTGAGCCACACCTCAAGTCCAGCCTTTACTTTTTATGCTGGTAAATTGGAGATGGAGTCCTATGGACTTTTCTGACTGGGGATGACTTCAAACCATGATCTTAGCCTCCTATGTAGCTGACAGACATGGTAGCACCTGGCTTATATTGCTCTTGAATAAGTGTCAGTAATTTGAATCTTCCTAGAAATCTAAATGATCTAATTTGTTATCATGCAATAAATCACTAAATATGAATTTCATTTGAAATCCTAAGTCACTTTCCATTCATGTAATAGCTATTTCACTTCTTTATTTTATATATATTTTCCTTCATTACACAAATGCCAATCTCCTAGAAATCCCAAGTTTGTCAATATGCTGGGCACTAATCCCTGCCTCCCACATTTCTGCCTAATTGTTTATTCTCAGATCATTCTCTTGGTCATTTCTGATTAGCTCCACAAGCTTTTCCCCTCTTTTGCCACCTCCACTCTTTGATTTGTCCCAAGAAATTGCTCTTTTTGAAGAGTTTTAGTGTCATACTACATATTCCGTATGCCACTCTAACAGAAGCCAGTCAAAATTCTAGATTTCTGCAACAGATGAGAGTCTATTAAAGCATTTTGTAAAAATGAAGATGGTCCTTCATTCAGGTAGACAGAAATTCTATTATCTTTGCAAGTTTTCTGTAATACCAAAGCCATTCCAAATTAAAAAGACTTATTTTTCTTTTCTTTTTGGTGGTAGGGAGGGAATCTCAGGTCTTGCACATCTTAGGCAAACACTACTACTGAGCACCAATTTTTTTTTTAGTACTAGAGTTTGAACTTAAGACATTGCACTTGCTAGGCTGATAATTTACCATTTGAGCCACACTACAGTCCTGCTTTTTGCTGTTTATTTACTTTCTTTCTTAATCCCTTATCTATTGAATCTCATTCTGTGGGTTGTCTCATAGTTTTGATAATTGTTTCTCCTTTCAGTAAAGAATCTTTTTAATTTTATGTACTTTCATTTCTCTATTCTTATTCATATTTTGAGGAATTGGGGCTCTGTTTAGTAAGTAATTTCCTCTGCCTGTGACTTTAAATACTTTAAATTAAAAAAAACCTTTACATTAAAATTTAGGGAAAAAACATTTACAGTGTTGAGTTCTTTGATTCACTTGGAGCTGAACCTTAGCTTTTTCGGTTAAGGTTGGTACTCTACCACTTGAGCCACCTCTGGCTTTTTGGTGGTTAATTGGAGATAAAAGTCTTATTCACTTTCCTTCTGTGGTTGACTTTGAACAATGATCCTCATATTTCAGCCTCCCAATCAGCCAGGATTATAGGTGCAAACCACCAATGCAGGGCTTACAGGTGATTTTTGTATAAGGTGAGAGATAGGAGTCAAGTTTCAGCCCCCTGCAAGTGGATAATCAGCTTTCCCAGCACCATTTATTGAAAGAGATTATCTTACACAATAGAAGGTGGTTGAGAGTTAGCAGGGCAAGTTAAATGACTAGACTGAGAGCACACTTTATGCACATGTGTATGCAGGGAGGAGTAAGAAAGTGCAAGTCCAAGTATTTCACATTAATACTTGCTTTGCACTGAGTATTTAATAATATAGGATCATTCCTATGAAGGCCTGTCAGCAGGAGAAAAAATAAAACCTACAAAATAGTACATTGGCGGGGCTGGGAAGTTAGCTCAATGGTAGAGCGCTTGCCTTGCATGCATGAGGCCCTGGGTTCGATTCCTCAGCACCACATAAGCAGGAAAAAAACTGGAAGTGGCGATGTGGCTTAAGTAGTAGAGTGCTAGCCTTGAGCTGAAGAGCTGAGGGACAGCGCCCAGGCCCAGAGTTCAGGCCCCACGACCGGACCAAAAAAAAAAAAAAAACAAAACCCCAAACCCAAAAACCAAACCAAAACAAACAAAAAACAAAATAGTACATTTGCAACAAAGCAAAAAACTTCACCAGTAACTTGTGAAGGATTGCAGGCCCAGCAAGGATGGAGAAGCAGCCATCTAGGGCTGAGAGCAGACTTTTACCTCCAGCTAATATAGTCATGCATGACTGGTAGGTGGAAGTGTACCTGGACAGTTCAAGATCTGGTTCCTGCAAAACCATTTCATTTACATATTGTGATTAATTTCAGAATGTTTTAAACATCCTCAACAGCAACTGTGTATTGCTGGGCCCAGTAGCACATGCCTATAATTCTAGCATTCAGGAGGTTGTGAGGCAGGAGGATCACAAATTCAAGGACAGCCTGAGTTATAAAATGAGTGCAAGTTTATTTTATTGTTTCTTTCTTTTTTTTGTTCTTTGTTTCTTTATTTGTTACTCTTTTTTGTATAGAGGTGTTACAATAAGTCAGGTAATGAGTACATTTCTTTCTGGAAAATGTCACCCCTTCCCTTTGCAAGTTTATTTTGTGTTACATAACAAGACACTTTCAAAAAAAGAAAACTCATATTTATGTATTTATAAGACAAATTTATATATTTATAATGAATGCTTTGCCTTCTCAGTCCTCCTGTGTACTCTCACCAATTTGGAATGATTTGGGTAAATTGAACCACATGATTCAATGCTGTTTGTGGCTGCTGCTGCTCAAACTAGTGATTTTGTTTGCCTTTAATTCTCTTCTCATGCTGACTTAGAGTCTTCCAATGAGTTAGCCACATTTAATTATTATGTGTATATGTATGTGTATGTATATATGTGTATATATATATATATATCAAATATTTGGTGGTACTAGTATTTGAACTCAGGGCCTCAGATGTGATTGGCTATAGAATCCTCTTCAGGATGAAGCCTGGTATTTGACTTATATGACAGATTTTTATTTTGGTATTTTTATTTTCTTCTTTGGGAAACATGTCTTGAAGAGTCCAGTCTGTAGAGAATGTGATTAGATGTCACCAAAGTTAGTTACCAGGCTGCCTCTCTGATTACTCTTTAAACAATATTCAATTTCAATCTACATTTTACCATATACTTGATACTAATAAAGATGAGTAAATGCAACTAGTGAGGAAGACTGATACTTAAGTAGATGCTCATATATTGTGATAAGTATTATAATAGAAGCCTTTGTATGTAGATGACAATCACATGTGAGAAATCATAATATAGATTTCAGGAGAAATATTGTAGAAAATTTTTGGGACTTAGACATAGAAACCTTGCAGCACACTTCTTACTTGATGGGTCCTTCCCCCATCCCTTCCCCTTCTTCCACTCTATTTTGTCTCTTTTCCCTTCCATGATTTTACTTAATATAATAGCATAATATAATGGTAGGTAAGAACTTAGAAACTCTATTCTTATAAAGGCATTGTTGCATTCGCAGGTGTAAGTTGGAAGCTGTACCAGTGGTACATTCTAGTACCTTGATGTCAAGCATAATGGAGAAACCACTTAGTCTGGATATACCCAGCAAGTCTGAAACACTACCCACTGAAGAAGCATTTCTCATTAAAAACGCATTCCTTTCTAAAGAGGAATGCGCTATCAAGGAACCAACCCTTATCAAGAAGGCAGTGGAGAAGTGCACAAATGATGCAGAGATGTCCCTATTAGAGAAATTACTATCCTTGAAGGAGACTGACAACGAGTTTGGGACAGAAAAAATGACTTTTGGGAAGGAGGCTAAAATTGAAGAGTCACTTTCCACTGAGAAGTCATTATCTTTAAATAAGAAGACGAATACCACTGATAAAAATGTCTATTCAACGACTCCACTGATGTTACAGAATACCATTTCTAAGGAGAAGGCCTCCAGTATGGATCCTATTGAGCAATACCTTCCTGGGAAACCACCTTCATTGCAAGAGGAGCACAGCACTGAGCAACAGGGATCCATCTTGCAGAAATCACTGGCTTTGCAGAAGATAAGCCTAGAAGAGGATCCCATCTGTACAGTATCATCAGCTTTTGAGATGAAATCTACAGCTAAGGAGACAGCCCTCATCTCAGAGCCATTTTTAAAGAAGAACTATACTCCTGAAAAGAAGAACACTATTGAGAGGAAGAGATCCTGTTCGAATACATCATTAGTATGTCAGGAGATAGGAAGTCCTCTTACCACTGAGGAGTTCCAGAAGCCACCTCTCATGCAGAAGAAACAACCCATTCAAGGGCAGGTGGCCATCTTTAAGAGGCCATGGTCATTAGAAACAGATTTGAGTGACAAATCCAACACTTGTCTGAAACAAACTACCTATAAAAAAAAACATACTACCATGAGGACAACTCACATGAAGACATTACCACTTGTAAAAAGGAAGAAACGTAACACTTGGAGGAAAATGCGCTACTATAAGCCACTAGAAGTGCGGGAAGTCACCCATAAAGATGAGTTACCCACTAAGGAGCCAATGTTCTGGAGGCCTAACACTGAGAAGAATGCCCTTTTCCAAAAGTCATTTGTATTCCAAGGGAATTACACCAACCAGGAAGATAAAGTCACCTCTGAGAAAACTTTATGTCCACAGAAGTTTCCCACTGAGAACTCATATCAACAGGAGGCTTTGGATCTGACCAAGAAATGTGTGATGGAGGAGGCCGCCCCTATCAAGAAGCCTGTACCTTTTAAGAAACCACAACCCTCCACTCAAAAGATAGTGTCCTACATGAAACCATTATTTTTGCCGACTACCACGTTTGGAGAGAATTCACATACTCAGGAACCATTTTCCTTTCAAAAAGAAACCATGCCTTCAAAGACAAAAATGTATACCACTCAGAACATGCCTTTCTGTCAAGGACCATCAGATTGCAAAGAGATGATTACTGAAGAAATTCATTCCTTTTTTATGAAGCCACCACTTAGGAAGAAGCCTAAAACTGAAGAGGAGGTCCTCTTCCAGGATTCAGTTGCATTTAAAGAGAATACTACTCTACAGGGCATGTCCCACTCAAAGAAGCCATCAGTGTTACAGACCACCACCACTGAAGAAGACTCATATAGTAAGAAACCCATGGTTTTTCTGGAGAATCCTATAATTGAAAAACTTTTTGTTCAGGAACCATTTTCTTTCTATGGTAATCTTGATAAAGAAGAGTCTTGTTTTCTGAAGGCATTCAACTTTCAAGAGAAGACTGATATAAAAAGTGACTTCCTGAAAAAGCAGCTGGCTTTTCATGAGAACCCTACCATCAAAGATGATTTACCTTTAAATAAGCTTTTACTTTGGAAAAAAGTGCCCTCTGCTGAAACAGCAACAAACTTAGAGGGGCAATTATCTTTAAAGAAGCCCACTTACCAAGAACAGGAGATCTTAAAGAAGCAGCTAGCTTTCTGTGAGACCACCAATGATGAGTACCCTAATGAACCGCTGGACTTGAGTATCTCTGGTAGCATTGACAAGCTGGCTACCCAGATGAAGCCCTGTCCCTTACAGAAGCCCAGTGCTAAGAAGAAGCTTTCCTTCCAGAAACCATTGATTCTGAAGAAGCATTTTGCTATTACCAATCATGATGTTGTGGAACACATTACTGACACAGAGGCTCAGCTCAAGAAACCTTTGACCTTGGAAGTCAAATCCAACAATGAAAAGGGGGCTCCCCTAAAAGAGCCCTTGGCCTTAGATAAGAATCCCATTCTTGAGAACAAAGACATCCTCAAAAGGCCCTTAATCTTTCAGAAGGCCATCAGTGATAAAAGAGTTTTATTTCAAAAGGCATTAGCCATGAGTAAAAAATTGGTCACTCAGAAACAGTCATTCCTTAAGCAACCATTGGCTTTGGAAAATGATTCTACACATAAAGAGAACACTTTTTTAAAAAAATTGATCCCTGAAGTTGAGAACAGCTCATGTACATTGAGCAATGACTTCTCATCTAAAGCAAGCACGTTGGACAATGCAGCCAAGCCAAGTACCACTAGCAACACTAGTGCCTGTGAATTGAATTCAAAACAACCTTTCTTGTTTCAGAACAAGAAAATATCACAAAAGGTAATTATCTCTCTTCTTTTTTTATCCTAAATATATATATATATATTTTTTTTTTTTCTTTCTGCCACAGGTACTACTTGAGCATCTTCTTTTTTTTGTTGGTTGCGGGGCTTGAACTCTGGGCTGGGCTCTGTCCCTCAGCTCTTCAGCTCAAGGCGACTGCTCTACCACTTGAGCCACAGCACCACTTCCAGTTTTCTGGTGGTTTATTGGAGATAAGAGTCTAGTGGACTTTCCTGCCCAGGCTGGCTTTGAACTGCGATCCTCAGAATTTAGCCTCCTGAGTAACTAGGATTATAGACGTGAGCCACCAGCACATGGCTTGAGTTTCTTTTAAAGTACTGTTTATTACTTGTTGTTAAACATCAACTTATTATTTTTTAACTTAATTTAATTTTTTAAATTTTATTTTATTGTAATGATGCTGTACAGAGTGGTTACATGTATAAGGTAATGAGTACATTTCTTGTCGAACATTGTTATATCCTCCTTTGTTTTTCTCCTACTATCCCTTCCCTCTCCCACCTCCCTCACTCCTCCCCTACCCACAGAAGTTGTAAAGTTCATTTCCAACATAGTGTCTAGTGAGTATTATTGTTGCAATGAGTCATCCTGTGTCCTTGTTTCAGCATTTTGTTATTCCCCTTCCCCCACAAAATTATATAAATGTAATTGTGTTCTTGGTGATATCCATTAGTAGAGATAGTGTTTTTGGTGCTGAGTGTTGAACTCAGGGCCTTATACATGCAAAATACATGCTCTATTACTGAGCTGTTTTATTTATGCAATTGAGCTGTGTATACTAGGTTAAGAGAGATCCCGCCATATAATGAGAGGATAATTATTTAAGGGGTTTACTTCTAGTTTTATTTAATAAGTGGTGATAATACAGAATCATCTCATCTTTCATAGCCTGAGGTTAACCTACAATATCGGATACATTTACCAGGCTCTTTCGCATTTTTCTCTTATATCAAGCTGGCCTTAGAGAATATTTTGACTTTTTGATTAGCATAGTCATAAACCTAAAGTAATCATGAAGTATTTATACCTATAATGATCTAGAATATTGTGCTGTTTACTTGGATTTTGCATCAGTGATTACAGTTTCATTTGGGATATTATATCTTTGTTATTTCATCAGAATTGGAGTGGGATTCTGTCAAAGATGGGCAAAGTTGTTGGACATGGTGGCTCAAACAAGTAATCCTAGCCACTTAGAGATTGGAGGATCATGGTTTGAGACTACCCCAAACATAAAAGTTATTGAGACTCCTTTTTCAACCAGTAGCTTGGTACAGTGGCATTCAACTGTCATTTCAGTGACAAGGTGAAGCATAAGCAGGATTGCAGTCTGGGCTAGCCTGTGCATACAGTGACAACTTAATGTTGAAAATAACGAACACATAAAGGGACTCACAGAGTGGCTTAAGTGAGGGGGTCCCTACATAGCAAGCATGAGTCTTTGAGTTCAAACCCCAGTAGTGTTGCACCCCAAATAAAGATGGGCAAAGTTCACAGTGGCAACTCCTAAAGAAAGTGATCTCCAGATTGTAAATTACAAAAAAGAAGGGTTGAAAATTAACAACAGGAGGATAAATACTCTTCTTACAGGCAAAACAGCCTGGGTCAAAGTGTAGAATAGAAGAAAGGGCTACTAAGATCAAAGAATTGAATGAAATATAACAAGAAACACAAGCAGCCAGGTAGTACAGTATATCTGAAATAATAAAATGTCTTTTTTAGGCTTGAGCCTACATATAAATAGGGTGCCTCATTCTTGGGGAAGAACAGTCATATATTAGGCATTTTTGTGCATGCCAGTACTGGGGCTTGAACTCAGAGCATGATCAGTGTCCCTTAGCTTTTTTGTTCAAGTCTAGAACCCAACTACTTGAGCCATAGCTCAACTTCTGGCTTTTTGCTGGCTAATTCAAGATAAGAGTCTCATGGGCTTTCCTGATTGGGGTGAATTTGAACCATGATTCTCAGATCTCAGCCTCCTGAATATAGCTAGTATATTATAGGTCTGAGCCACTGGTGCTCAAATACTAGGTATTTCTTGATCACTCAGCAATAAAATGAATGGAAGGTCCTGGGGTGCTCTCTGATACATGAGGCTTAAGGAATCTTAGTAGAATAAGACTGGGGAGAAAAGAGTCATTCTTCATATGTATAAGCTAAGCTTTCCTTGGCCTCCTCCTAATATGTCTTTTTGTTGACATTTTTTGGCAGAAAAGTGAACTGGAAGCTATTGAAGATGATAATAATGATTTATTTTTCAACTTAGAATATGCTAAGGATATCTTTGCTTACTTGAAGGAAAGAGAGGTATGTATGTAGGTAGCTCGGCTTGGACAATGATTTCTGCTTTTATTTTTCTCACCATTCTACCTTTCTACATGAAATTTAGAAGGGAGATTAGCCAGGCACTAGTGGCTCATGCCCATAATTCTAGCTACTCAGGAGGCTGAGATCTGAGGATCACTGTTCAAAACCAGCTTGGGCAGGAAAGTCCATGAGACTCTTATCTTCAATAAACCACTAAAAAACCGGAAGTGGCGCTGTGGCTCAAGTGGTAGAGGGCTTGGCTTGACTGAAGAGATGTGGGACAGCACCCATGCCCAGAGTTCAAGGCCCATGGCTGACCAAAAAACAAAAAAGGGGGAAGTAATGATGGTACAGAAAAATCATAATAATAGCAACAACTAGCACTTATAGCTTACTATGAGTGAGACATTGTATTAAGGGACATTATCTTACTTAATTCTCTTATAATTTCATGATGATAAGTGTTTATTACCTCTCTTTTACATAATGGTGGAAACTTCCCAGAGTAACACAACTAGTATATATGGTCGAGCTAGTAGGATTGAAGTCTGATTATCTTAAGGACTATATATCAACATGTAGAGTTGCTTAACAAAATTAAGTGAAGTAAGCCAGGCCCAAAGAAACACAGGTTCCATGACTTTCCTTATTTGCAATAACTAGTGTATGTCTGAGACAAGCAGAAAAGCTCTGATAAGATGATGTTAGGCAAAATGAACCGCAAGGTAAGGACACAAGTGGGTTTTTTCTTTCTTGCTATTGTTTCTAATATATTTATAAGGTGATTGTTTTGTTGCTTTGTATGTCCCTCCCCCACAGTATAACGCCTGTTTTTACTGTATTTGATGTTGGTATAATTTGGGGAGGGGAAGGGAAAAAAACAAATTGTTTAAATAGGGATACAATTGGACCCATTGCAACAATGAGATGTACGAAATGCTATGTTGAAAAATGAACTTTACAACTTTGGCGGGGGTGGGGGGAGTGTAGTCGTGGAGATGGGAGGGCAGGAATGGTAGATGAAAAAAAGAGGAGGCAACAATGCTTGATAAGAAATGTACTTATTACCTTGCTCATGTAATTGTAACCCCTCTGTACAGTATTTTCACAATAAAAAAACTTTTTAAAAAATAAAAAAATAGTTTCAGACAGCTGGTTACTGGTGACTCAAGCCTGTAATCCTAACTACTTGGGAAGCTAAGCATTGAAGGATTGTGATTCAAGGACAAAAAGTTAGTGAGACGTCCTTCTCAATCCATAGCTGAGTACAGTGGCACACAGTAGTCAGCTTCATTAAGGATTAGATCAGATGGATTGTAATCTGGCTAGCCACAGGCAGAAAAATCTTCATGATTCCATCTTAACAGAAGGAGATGAATGTGATGTTTGAACCTATAATCCCAGCTATGATGGAAGGCCCAAAATATGTTCCAATCTGGAGCTGTAAGACTCTATCTGAGAAAACAACTATTCTCAAAAATGATGGAGGCATGACTCAGTGACAGAGCACCTGCTTAACAAGCAGGAAACCCTGAGTTCTTCCCTAGTACTGCCCCAAACAAAACAACAATAACAACAATAACAAAGTCTCAGACAGATTAGTCATCAAGTAGTATGTTTTCTTTCCTTCTTCTTTTATTTTTGGTTGGTCATGGAGCTTGAACTCTGGGCCTGGATGCTGTCCCTGAGCTCTTCAGCTCAAGGCTAGTGCTCTATCACTTGAGCCTCAACACCACTTCCGGCTTTCTGGTGGTTAATTGGAGATAAGAGTCTCATGAACTTTCCTGTCTGAGTTGGCTTTGAACGGTGATCCTCAGATCTCAGCCTCCTGAGTAGGTAGGATTACAGGCGTGAGCCACCAGCACCCAGCAGTATTTTTCTAAATAGCTATGTTTCTCCTTTGTGTGTGTTTCTGGCATCATATGTAAAATCACATTCTTTGTTTCAGTCCTCCAACCTGGAGATTTCTTTTGCCTTTGAAATCTGCCAGTTGCTTTTACCAATTGTATTTATCAACTTCACATTTTCTTCTTTGTTAGTGAAACAGATAAGAGCTAGATATTTACCAACTAATTTTTTTAGCCATGTATAAAATGATGTATTAGTATCTCATCCTGTATAGACAGAAGACAATTGACTTTAGAGTCCATGTTTCTCCTGATATACAGATATTTCTCAATTTATAAAGGAAGTTATAAGCAGCTAAACTTATATCATAGGTTGGAATATCCTAGCTGAGCTACACCGTTCACAATAGAATATAGGCTGGTTTCTCTTTATGATGCATGGCTGACTGCTGCTCATATCCAGCACTGAGAGAAAGGATTATACCACATGTCATTTAAAATCCTGAGGTACAGTTTCTATTGAATGTGTCTTACTTTTGCCCCATCATAAAATTTTATGTATTTGTTTTTATTGTTATTATAAAGGTGATGTACAGAGGGGTTACAGTTATACAAGTCAGGTAAGGAGTCCATTACTTTTTGGACAATGTTACCCCTTTCCTCATTCTCTCCCAGTTTTTTCCCTCCTATCCCCACCTACAAGTTGTAGAGTTCATTTTCAACATAGAGTCCAGTGAGTACCATTGTTGAATTTGTTCACCCTGTATTTGTCCCTCCATTTCTGTGTCTCCCCTTACACTCTCAAAGATGAGAGTGAACAAACAGAACAAAAAGGAAAGAAAACAAAAACAAGAAAAAAGAAAACCTCTTGTTTTTCTTTCTGGTGTTCATTTTGATAAATATTATTTTGTATGGTCAGATGCACATAGACATTGTGCCTTTCTTTTCATCTTCTAGGAGTATCCTCCTTTGGTCTCACTGTGTGTGAATGCCTAAAGACATGTATAATTTATTATGTCTTGATATTTTACATCTAGCTTCTGCATGAGAGAAAACATGCACTGTTTGTCTCTCTGAGCTTGGCTTATATCACTTAACATTTGTTTTAGTTCTACCCTTTTTCCTGCAAATGACATAATATTATTCTTTCTAATGGCTGTATAAAATTCCATTGTGTATAGGTACCACATTTTTTGCATCCATTCATCTACTGTAGGGAATCTGGGCTGTTCCCACAATTTGGCTGTTGTGAATAGTGCAGCAATAAACATGCATGTGCAAGTATTTTTATGGTGTTCTGGTTGTGATATTCTAGGTAGATGCTCAGGAATAATATGACTGGGTCATAAGATGGTTTATGTTTAGTTTTTTGAGGAACCTCCAAACTGCTGTCCAGAGTGGTTGTACTAGTTTACATTCCCACCACAAGTGCAATAGGGTTCCTTTTCTCCCCACATCTCTGCCAACATTTGTTGTTGCCCAAATTCACAATGTTGGCCATTCTAACTGGGATGAGATGGAATCTCATAGTTGTTTTGATTTGCATTTCCTTTCCAATCATAAAATTTAAAAAATGTTTAAATATGGTAAATTGGAACTACCTGTACCTTAGAGACAATTCTATTTTTCTAAACATGTAAGCCTTGGCTCAGAAATATCAGTTTCACTTGGGATCTTGTTAGCAATGCAGAAACATAACCCCACTTCACACCTTCTACATCAAAATCTGGTATTACAAGATTTCCAAATAGTGTATATGTATGTTAAAGTTTGAGAGGAATTGCTTTATAATAGGCAGTCTGAGCACAGCATGGCATTGTGCTTTAAACTGAATTGCATGTAAGGCCCAGAACTTGTATGGTGTTTGTCTTTAAACACAGTTTATTCTTGCTCTCATTCCTCCTGGATTTGTCACTTTCCATTCTAACACTTGAAAGAAAGATTTCTTTTAGGGGCTGGTAGAGTGACTTAAACTCAGGGACTTACTAGGCACTATCTCTTAGCTTTTTTCATTCGAGACTGGAAATCCACCACTTGAGTCCACCTCCACTTTCAACTTTTTGGTGATTAATTGGAAATAAAAGCCTCAAAAACTTCTTGACTGGGCTGGCTTCAAACCAAGATCCTCATATTTAGGCTATTGAGTAGCTAGGACTACGGGCATGAACCATTAGTGCTTGACTTGACACATGAATATTTTGTGTGTTCATTTCTCAAGCATAACTAGAAATTATCTAGAAATAGATACTTGGAGCTGTTCATATCTGTTATCAGTTGAAAATAATGGGTTAGAACTATGAAAGAGAAGTTTATTGTTAAATTTAAATTTGAACTGAAACATTTCTTTCTCATTGACACCAGGAAAATTTCATACTTACAAATTACATGGACAAACAGACGGATCTCACCAGTGATATGAGGGCCCTTCTTGTGGACTGGTTAGTGGAGGTACAGGTAAGCCTGACAATAGCTGCATTAAGGAGCTTTTGTTCTCTTTCATGGGATGTGGCCCAGGCACACATATTTTTTAAATTTATTTTTTGTGATGGTGATGTACAGAGGGGTTGCAGTTACATAGATCTGGTATTTTTGAACAGTGTCACCACTTCCCTCATTTTATCCCAATTTTTTCCTCCTAAACTCCCTCTCCCCCAAGTTGTATAGTTCATTTTCAACATAGTATCTATTGATTCTCACTGCTGAATTAGTTCACCCTTTGTCCCACATTTCTGTGTTTCCCCATACTCTCCTCCAAACAGTTAAACTTACATACAAGACAAAAAATATAGAAGTCAACAACAATGACAGAAGAGGAAAAACAAAAAAAAACACAAAAAGTAAAGTGAAAAACCTCTTGTTTCCATTTCTTGAAGTTCATTTTGATAAACAACATTTTATATGATCATATGCAAATAACTATTGATCCTTTGTGATCCTGTCCTGTATCCTCCTTTGGTCTCACTGTGTGAATGTTTAGAGTCCTGTTTAATTTAACATGTCCAAGTGTAATTTTTTGTCTTTTATTATCCATTGTATTTACTTGTTGATTTATAGGCACAGTCTAATTACTATAAGTGAGGGAAACCATGCACCCTATATTTCTTTGGGTCTGGCTTCGCTTAATATAATTATCCTAAGTCTTTACATTTCCTTACAAATGGGGCAATGTCATTCTTCCTGATGGAAGCATAGAATTCCATTGTGTATACATAACACATTTTTTTAATCCATTCTTCCCCTGAAGGGCATCCGGGTTGATTGCATATCTTAGCTATGGTAAACAAGCTGCAGTGAACATGGTTTGCTGGTATCCTTAGCCAGGCACACATATTTAATAAAGTTCTGTATGCTATGTTAATTTACATTAATATGTAGTTTCATGTATTTTATTATATGTGAATATAAGTAGTCTATTTTATCATGTGTGACATTCCCACATGTGGATCTGTTTTCTTTAATTTTGACTGGTGTAGTGTGAGTTCCTTTAATCTAAAGGCTCGATCTTTGTGGAATTTTATCAGTTATTTCTCTGATACTATTACCCCTCTATCTTTTCTCTGTTATTCTTTTCTGTTAATTTTTCCTACAAATACTGTGACTATGGCTAACTTTCAGTAGATTTCAGAGAGGGATCTGATCTCCTCTCTGTGCTATAAATTCCTCCCTAACTCCAAACAGATTTTTTACAAATGGTTCACGACAAAGCCCTTTCTGGCCATACCCCATTTTCCCAGGTAAAGGGCTCTCTACACTGGTCCCAGGTACCATCAGGTGATGAGTTTGCCACATGCAGATATGTAGCCAACAGCAAGGCAGGGTCTGACTGTTCCAAGGCTCCTTCAGTGCTGCTGAAATTTGCCTGGGTAGAATCTTGACCATTTTCTACTTCAGAAAAGGAGGAGAACATGTCTTCATATTCTGTTCACTGTCTCTCTAGGATTTTAAAAAAATGTTTACTTTGTTATTAGTACTGGGGCTTTAAATCAGGTGTTGTCCCTGAGATTTTTTGCTCAAGGCTAGTGCTCTATCACAGCCACAACACCACTTCTGGTTTTCTGGTGGTTAATTGCAGTTAAGGGTCTCATCAACTTTCTTGCCCAGGGTGGCTTCAAACGTAATCCTCAGATCTCAGCTTCCTGAGTAGCTACGATTACAGACATGAGCCACTGGCTCCAGGCATCTCTCAAGTTTTTATTCACCATCTTAAATTTCTGTTTTGGGAGAATTTCTAGAGGTAGCTTTTGGGATTATTAATTTGGTTTGTGGCATTATCTAATATGAAGTCCACTGTATTACACTTTTTTTGGTGCTTGTAGTACTGGGGCTTGAACTTGGGATCTGAGCAATGTACCTTAGCTTTTTTGTTCAAGGCTGATGTTCCGCCACTTCAGCTACAGCTCTACTTCTGCTTTTTTGTGGTTAATTAGAGATAAGAGTCTTATGGACTTTCCTGACAAGGCTGGCTTTGAACCTTGATTCTCAGATCTCAGTCTCCTTAGAGTAGTTAGGTTTATAGGCATGAGCCATCAATGCCCATTTATCTCACATTTAAAAAAATTAAATGACTAATTTTTTTTTATCAGAACTAGTCTTCCTTTATTCCAAAGGATTCTGTTTTCATAGATTTTATGTTCTTTTAGATCTTGAAAATATACATTTTTAGAAGTTTATTCCAGTTCTTGAGAATGGAAAGCTTATATAGGTAGATACTTGCTGATTTCTAAAAATTTTTCTCCATAAAAATTAACATTTTTCATATAGCTGATTATTTACCCATTTTATTCATCTTCATAGAAGATGCTCTTTGAGTTAGATTAGATGTTTTAATCAGATTTTTAAAGTCAGTCCAAGGCTGAGCACTTTTTTTATATGTTCTATGGTTTTATGACTTCCCCTTTATTTCTTCAGATCTTTCTCCAGATAGGGAAACAGTTATTAATGAAGGACTGGGAAGAATGCTTTTGGTAGAAGCAGTTGTAAGGGAGGGAGAGAATATTTCTATACTACTGTTTGTCCTTTGGATGCTTGTAATTACCTGGATCACTACTTCTTTTTTCAAATTGGCACAAAGATTCTAATGTGTAGGCTAGTGCTGAGAACAATGGAAACCATATTATATAATGCACAGTGAAAGTCAAGTTATGTGGTCTGAGGTGAGGAAGATTTATAGGAGCTATAATAACCATCTTCATAACTGAAGAGCTGCCACCAGAAGGATTACACTACTCTCAGGTAATTCCAAGTTGTATAGTTATTTTAGAAGGGTATTATTTTACATTCAAGGAGGGAAAATTACTGTAACTATTGGAAAAATTTCAACTACTTAGGAGATAGAAATTGGGAGGAAGGAGGGTCAAGGCAAGCTCAGGCAAAACGTTAGTGAGACACCATTTCAACAATTAGGCTAGATGTTGTGGATTTTGTCTGTGGTCCCAGCTAAGCAGGAGGTATATGTAGAAGGATCACAATCTGAGGATGGCTCAAGCAAAAATGCAAGCCCTAACCTGAATAATAACTAGATCAAAAAGGACTAGGGACATGGCTCAAATAGTAGAGCTCCTGCCTAGCAAGTATGAAGCCTTGAATTCAAGCCCCAGTACCCTTAAAAAGTCAATATATTATAAGCACTTATTCAGATATTACCCACATATTTTGATGTTAATATTGAAAATAGTGTTATGAGTGGCCATGTTCTTATGTGGGGATACTAGAAGGAAGCTATATAAATACTGACTGTGCCATTTATTTGCAGAGTCATGACCCTCTATTTTCCTTTCCTACTATCTTTAATTTCCAGTTTTTGTAATTACCCAACATCATTTTTTGGTACTTAAGATAGTAGCTTTTACTGCCTTCTTGATCAATGTCTATCCCTTTCTTTTTTATTTTAATTTTATTGTCAAGGTGATGTACAGAAGGGTTACAGTTACATGTGTAAGGTAGTAAGTATATTTCTTGTCTAACTTGTTACCCCTTCCCTCATTTTTCTCCCTCTTTCCTTTCCCCCGGTCTACCCCAAGTTGTACAGATCATTTCCAACATATTGTCTTATGAGTATTGCTGTTGAATTGGTTTCCCCCTTTCTTGTCCTTTTCTTAAGACATTCCTTTGGATAGTATGGAAAATAAAGTATCTATGTCCTAATTCTCAGAACCTGTGAAACTGTTTCTTTACATAAGAAAGGGGACTTAAAGTCACTAATCAGCTGAAATTGAGATAGAATAGTTATCCTAGATCATTTGAATAGGCTCAATATAATCATAATGGTCCTTAAGTATAGAAAAGGGAGAGAGAACATGGTGTTATTTAAGAAATCTGGCTATGACTGTTTTGAAAATGGAAGGAGCCCACAAATTAAGGAATGTAGGCTGCCTTCAGAAGCTAGAGAACAATAGGTTCTCTACTACAACTTCTAGAAAGTTGTTAATACAGATCTGTTTGACATTTTGATTTTCATCACAGGGAGACCCATTTTGGACTTCTGACTTTCAGAGCTATAGTGTAATGAATTTGTGTTGTTTTATGCCATTGGATGCATGCTAATTTACTAAAGCAGTAATAAGAAGCATACAAATTTCTGAAAAGATCGAAAACCATATCCCATGACAGAATTCCTTTTTAATATTTGATCAGAAATTTAATATGTATATTATTAAATTTTATCCAGCCATCTTCTCTTCTCATTTGCTTATGCAAACATATATCTGTTTCTCTAGTGCTTCTCAATAACCCTTTTTTTTTGGTCATCTAGGTGATAGTAAATAAGAAGAGCTTAAGCCAGAAGCCAGTGGCTCACACCTGTAATTCTAGCTACTCAGTAGGCTGAGATCTGAGGATTGCAGTTCAAAGCCAGCCTAGCAAGAAAGTCCATTAGATTCTCATCTCCAACTAGCCATCAAAAATCAGAGGTGGAATTGTGGCTCAAGTGGCAGTCTTGAATGAATAAAGCTAATAGATAATTCCCTGGCCCTGAGATCAAGCCCCAGTACTGGCACTCACAGTATGGTATACAAATGAAGGTCCAGTGAAGCAGAGATTGCAAGGAGAGTGAATTCACTCAACATATGGAAGAATTTTCCATTAAAGCCATTGAAAGAGGGAATAGGCTGTATTTGGAGGTTTTTAAGGCAGGGGCTAGTAATTTACATATTTTGTGGAAATGTTAAGAGCATTAACACGTCAATTGAGAATGTTAGATGAAGACAGCTTTTATAAGTTCTTGAAGCCTAAGAACTTGATTGGTTATAAGTGAGAAGTATCACTGAGGACTGATGTGCCTCCTGTGTACACAGACAAAAATAGCCAGTGTGATTGAGTGGAAACAAACTTAATGGCTTTGTTTTTCCCCACCTGTATATTCCCATTGTAATGGCTGTGTACCCTGAGACACCTTTTACTAATTTCTATAAAGATATTATCTATTTAATCAGATATGAGCTTGAAAAGCTTCATTCACCCAATTTAGACAGTTTTATTTTTCTGATTCACACAAAGGCGTTCGAGCCAGCATAAAGTCTGGAACTATGGTTACAGGAAAAGGGCTCTTATAGTTGCTAGAGGCAAGACAAGGAAGACAAGACAATAAGGAAAGAAGAGAGTATATTATTAATGCTTTAACCCCACTCTGACTTCTCCTATCCTATACTTATCTTCCAAACTGTACTATCAGTACTTGTACCCAATTGAGCGATTCTAGTAGTATATCTAGATTGGAAAAAAGCAAGCAAACAAGCCTCTGGATTTCAGAACTAAAGAAATACATTTCTCAGGGGAGAGTTTACTATATAAATTACTAACAAATGGAGAAAGCAGAAATCTGAGTATAAGAGATGAAGAAGAGAGGGCATGTTCACTCAGGTTACTCACAGAGAAGGCAGAGAATCTCTCTGGTTTGTGAGTGACCACCTACCCAAATGTGTAAAAGCAGATAGTGTCATGGTCCTCAAAAGTATTAGGGATACATGCAGATAATTAGCTGGGGAGGCTTTTACATTCTTGACAGAATCACAGCTGCTTAAGACTGTCCTTGATACCACAGACAGGGAGCTAGACAATGTGCAGATTTGTGTCCTATTTGTATATGCTTCCAGATGAACTTTGAGATGAGTCACGAGACCTTGTATTTGGCAATAAAGCTGGTGGATCACTACTTAACAACGTCATTGTGCAAGAAGGAGAATTTACAACTTCTTGGTTCTACTGCCTTTTTTATTGCAACAAAATTTGAGGTAAGCCTCAGTCCCTAAGGCCCTGGAAGTAACTCATCATATGTCTATTTAAAACAGAGAATGAATACATTTATGTATACATACACATATGTGCATGTATTTGTATATACTTGTATCTACCTGAGTATTCAATTATACAAATATTTTTCTATATTTTTTCTATTTCCTCAAAGCAGAAAAGTTGATGCTGGCTGTTAATAGTGGTTTATTTGTTTCCAGGCATCAGCAAAGTTTTTTATTTCCTCTTCAAAGGTGTCTTAGATGGATGAGCCTAATTAAATGAGTATTTAAAAATTTCCTTTGGTCCATGATTCTCTGCCCTTGACTTTCTTGCTTCACCAACTCTATTTCTCAACTAGTAGAATCTTCATCTACATATATAACAAAACATTTCCAAATCATAATGCAGGAGATATTTAATGGCAAATGGTTTGGTGTAGATGGTAGTGAGTCTAAACGGTTCATGTGCAATAATTATTTTTGAAGTAGTATTATAAAAGTGGGTAGCTGGCCTTTTATTGATGACCATAGTCTATCCTCCTAACCTGTCTGATTCTTCCTTTTCCCTGGGTGCTAGTAATCTTGTTTAACTCTCATTTTTTCCTTCACTTATACTATGAAATTGTATGAAACTTTAAGGTTTGGGAGCAGGAAGGGAGCAACTTCTGTTGAGTTTGAAGAACTTTACAACCAGATTTCTTTATTTTTATTCTGGCACCTTTACTCTCTCCTTTGCCGACTCCTCCTGCTCTACTTGCTCCCCTCCCTTCCTCTTTATTCTTTCCCTCTTTATGCTGCTGCCCTATTTTCACTTGTAGATATATCCTATACTCCAGCCTCTGAGTTGTGCCCTGTTCAACAGAAAAAGGAAGGGAGTAGGAGGAAGAGAAAGAGGAGCCCTTTTTAGGCAAATCTTGGTACCAGGAGCACCCTTCCTCTGGCTACTAAGTTCTATGTCAAAAGGATGACTTCCTCTCATAGGGCTGAGAAGTATTGAAAGACTTTCACAAGTGGAGGTGTGGAGATGGAAAGAGAAGAAAGGAAGAAGTAGTTATGAACCTGATCAAGTCATTTCCAAGAGGGCAGGGGAGGAGAAGAAACAGATGGGGAAAGAAAATTGAGTTTGTCAGTGAGCTCCAAATAAGGAAAAGGGTCAGTGGTCTTCTTGCCTCCTCCTGATCTCTCCCAAACCAATATTTAACCTTCAGAGAACAAGGCATAGGCCAGGGCTTCCAGAACAGTGGTTCTTTACTTAGCCCCTACCTGTTCCACTCCAAGCAATCTCTCCATCACTACCTCAGTTTTCTATGTCTTTCTTACTTTCTTCTCATTCCTTGTTCTGACCAGGATGACAGATCACTACTTCAAGACCTCTCATATTACTCTCACACTGTAAGAGACCACCCCAACAGGACTTGTCATTCCTCTGGTGGTAGTTCAGTCTTTGGACAGGCCTTCCTCTCATTTCTCTGGCTTTCTATTTCTGTAAGGCAACCCAGAGCAACCAGAAGTCAGCCCTCAGAGATGCTCCAAAGATCCAAAATAATGGTTACCTCATATACTTTCCCTTTGTCCTCCTTGGCCTTTCATCTAAAACTGTCTTCTTGGTTGTAACTGCCTTTCCTCTCCATCTATAGGAACCCTATCCACCTTCTTTGAAGGAATTCCTGTACATCTGTGAAGACCTTTATCAACGAGAAGATATGCTTGCTATGGAAGCCAGCATTCTAACAAACCTTGACTATGACATCAATATTCCCGTTGCCTATCATTTTCTGCGAAGATATGCTATGGTAAGAGGACAAAAACACATTGTTATTCTACTTCTAGGTTTTCTGTATATCCAGAGTAGCTGCCAACCCTTTTGGTTAAAAGTTAGTAGTCTTTATGAAAGCATTGGTATGGCGTTAGCAGTCTTTATGCAGCATTAGTATGGTGTGTCTGTGAAGTTTTGAGATAAGGGCAGAGTAAGGAAAGAAGAAAACAGCCTTTGATCAGAAAAGGACACATGAAAAGTTTTAGGGGATTATGGGCAATATTCTCTTTCCTTACTTGATTATTGGTTACAAGGACTATCACTTCATAATTACTCATTGTATCCTACAAGTATATGTTGTGTACTTGTATCTGTTTGTGTTATAGATTAATTTTTTTCAAACAAGAAAAGGGGAAAGAGCTGTTCTGGAGCAGGGAACAAGGAATCAGTGGCAAAATCAGAGTTAGGAGACTTTGATTATTCAGTAGATAACTCCTACAGAAGAGAGGGTATACATGTGACAATTTGGTTAAAAACCTTAAAATTGGCAAGGTGCTGGTGGTTCATTCCTATAATCCTAGCTGCTCAGGAGGCCAAGATCTAGAGGATTGTGGTTTGAATCCTGCCTAGGCAGAAAAGTCCATGCAATTGCAACTCCAAAATAACAAGCAAAAAGCAAGGCTGAAAGAGTGGATCAAGTGATGAAGCACCAGCTGACCCAGCAAGCTAAGCAAGTACAAGGTCCTGAGTTCAAAACCCAGTAATACCCTTCCTTCCCAAACAAAATCCCCTAAAAGTTTGCAAATCCCAATGCCAATTTCAGAATCTATGCTTTGGCTCTGGCAGGAGAGGTATATTGCTTCAGCAGAGAGCCTGAGGTAGGATAATTGGAGAAGAGGTCTTTTGCCTGATGCTGTTCTTCTAAATTGATTGTTGAACTAGTCTTATTTCTGCCTTTAGTGTCTCCAGTCCAGCATGACAACACTGACACTGTCCCGCTACATCTGTGAGATAACCCTGCAAGAAAGTCACTACATCCCTGAGAGGGCTTCCAAGCTAGCAGCTGGCTCTTTCCTCCTGGCCCTCTGCATGAAGAATCTTGGACACTTGGTAAATAGGTTTGATAGGAAGAAGGGTAGGGTGTAAATTAAGGCTATGGGGAAGTTAATGGTGACAAATCTGCCATGTATTCTCAGGAATTCTTTAACACCTGGATAACTTATGGACATAAGTTTCTGCAGCAGTGGTATTGAAATATTTTATTATATTTTTCTAAGTCACAGTATTCTTCGTTTCAGAAGAAATATCCTTCTCTGAAAAATGCCCCTCTCTGAAAACCTAATATTGTAAAACAGACTAATGTGAAGTTAATGTGTTTTTCATGAGGTTGAGGTGAGCCCTTTTACCCCTGTCCCTTGCAGGTCTCTGAGAAAAATAGGCCTCTTTCATTTTTATTTACAATTACATAGGTCAGGTAATGAATACATTTCTTTTTGGAAAATATCACCCCTTCCCTTGATATATCCTGGTTTTTCTCTCCTGTCTCTACCTGCAATTTGTATGGTTCATTTCCAATATAGTGTCTAATGAGTACCACTGTTGCATTTGTACAGCCTTTGTCTCTCCACTTCTGTGCCCTCTCCTCCTCTCCCCAAGACAAATAAATGAACAACCAAGACAAAAAGAAAATAAACAGAAACAACAATAAAAAACCTCTTGTTTCGCTAAATACTTTATATGATCAGAGGTACACAGGCATCTTTGTGTTCCTCCTCTAAGAATATCCTCCTTCGATCTCACTGTGTATGAATGCCTAAAGTCATGTATAATTTATCCTGTATGATGGAAAGTAGACCTTGGTGGAGCCAGATTTGGAAAGAATTGACCCAGAGAATATAAAATAGTGAAAGTAACTGTCCATGTATATAGCAATGTGCTCAGAGTCATACCTATTATTGTTGTTTTCTGAAGAGGAATTCCTTGAAAACCCTGTAGCCACCTACAAGTGAAACTCATATTTGCTGCTTATGTAATTTTATAAAAAAAAGTTAAAGAAATTTTAAAGAACCTTAAATTCTTATGGCTACACAACATGCAATTTGAGTAAAAAGATTATGCTCACAAATTTAGCAGCTCCTATCCAACCATTGCTAAATCCATCTTGTCTAGAAGCCCTGAGCCATGGTTGATGGGAAAAACCTCTGCATGCTGAAAAAGAACCATGAAAAAAGTTGTGTGAGCCTGAACAAATCATATTGAAATTTTTGAGAACAGAGGGAGCATTTAATAAATGGCAATGATTTTGTTGAAAAGTAAAGTCATAACGGTTATTAGCATTTATGGAGTATTTAAGAATGATATAAGCACATTATGTATTAAACTCATTTAATCCTTGCATGGGCCCCACAAGATTAGTACTATTACAATTAATCTATAGATAAGAAATAACTTCTATGTTTATACAACTAATGAGAGATGGAACTAAATTTGGAACTCAAAAATCTATATAATGAAAATTGTGTGTCCCTAACTCTGAAGTTTTGGTCTTAGAGGTCCCATGTTGAACCAAGTTTTGACCCTTGGACTCTTAGTGAGCTCTAAAGGGGATGGATGTGTGGCTTAGGGCAGCCACTGTGCCAACTAAGATAGAAATATCTCAGTGTTTCAAAAATAATTTTTAATATCATTAAATAGTTGTTACAAGGGCATTTCAATTTAACATATCCATTTATGTGTACAATGCATCTTGATCAGACTCCTGTCTTCTGTGATTTTTCCTCTACCCCAATCCAATTTTCTCATAATTTCTGGATAAACCTGAGAGTATCAGCTGAATGCCAGCCCTAATCTGAACTCAGATAGTTCACATACACAGCCCTTTGTGTTATTACACTCTCTTTTCCAGATAAGAAAGACTAAACAAATAAGGTGACTGTGAGCAGGATCTTGAAAGATGAGTAGGAACTTATGAGATAAGACAACTGAGGTGGAGGGAGTAATAATTAAAAAGACAGAAGGCACTGAAGGACTGTGATGTTTGCAGCAGAATAGCACACTTTCTATTATTAGAACAAAGGGTCCATTAATAAGGATGAATGATGACACCAGAATGTGAGGCTATGGAATTTGATGGGATCTTGTATGTTATGCTAAGAGTACTCATTTTAACTTAAAAAATGGTGGTAGGGATCAAACCCTGAGCCTCATGCATACTAAGCAAGCATTTTACCACTGAATTATATATACTCCAACATCAAGACACCCACTCTATATTAAGGCATTCTTTTAGGAAAGGAAGTAACATGTTCATGTTTTGGGATTTGAAACAGTACTGCTATGGCAGAATAGAAGGGATGAGGGAGACTAAAGTGGAAACACCAGGGACTAGGCTATTATAGGCAAGATGAAGCATTGTGGGCCTAAGTGGAGCTATATAATTAACATGCCCAGCATACTGTGTTAGTCATCTGATCAACATGCTAGTGACTTCCCTTTGTAAATGGTAGTATTTTTAAAATTGTATTTAGGAACCGGGTGCTGGTGGCTCACGCCTATAATCCTAGCTACTCAGGAGGCTGAGATCTGAGGATCGCGGTTCAAAGCCAGTCCAGGCGGGAGAGACCTTGAGACTCCTATCTCCAATAAACCACCAGAAAACCGGAAGTGGCACTGTAGCTCAAGTGGTAGAGCGCTTGCCTTGAGCTGAAGAGCTGAGGGACAGCGCCCAGGCCCAGAGTTCAGGCCCCACGACCGAAAAAAAAAAAGTGTATTTAGGAGAACCTTATTTTTTGTTTTTGTTTTTTATAGCAGTGTCTCAGACAAAAGGTAAAGGGTTCCAAATTGATGGGCTTCTTAATCCTCATCACTACTTCTACATAAGATACTTAGAGAAAAAGGAGTTAAGGAAAAATAAGACAGTTTAGGGAAAAAAAATCACTGGCTTATAGATAAATCCTCTTCCTTTCTCTGCCCATCAAGCATATTATATGATAGGATTGAATAAAGTTAATACATATTTATTTAATCATGGTATAATTACTATAATGATCCTCATTTGGCAGATTTGCAACCTGAAGCACTATGAGGTTAAATAACTGGCTCCAGTCCATGCTGTTAGAATTTGAATTTTAACTGAAGCAGATTGCCTCTAGAACCTTTGCTCTTAAGCATTGCCATATAAGACATTCTTTTTCTTTTTTTATTTTCTTTTATTATTTTTAAGGTTCTTAAACTATCCTGTTCTAGTTCCCTCATCTGTAAAATAGGGAGTATAAATGGTATATATCTCTAGAGTTGTTGTGGCAATTGCATTAACTAGAAAACATACAATGCTTGGATCAGTACCAGGCTTTTAATGCCCTACTTAGGAATCTTTAATTAAATTGTCAATCTCATATAAGTCAGTCTTATGGTTAAGTAAGAAAGTGAATGTATGGAATGATGGATGTCAGAATTAGAGATGAGGAATAGTCTCCAATTAAGTTGGGACTCTGAATTCGTTCTGCAGTTTGCTTGGTCATTGGCTTTAGGTCTAAGAGTGACTAAATAATATCAGAGCCAGGTGCCAATGGCTCACATATGTAATCCTAGCTATTCAGGAGGCTGAGATCTGAGTATCATGGTCTGCAGCCAGCCTGGGCAGGAAAGTCAAGGAGACTCTTTTATCTCCAAGTAACCACCAAAAAGCCAGAAATGGAGCTGTGGCTCAAATGACAGAATGCTAGCCTTGTACAAAAGTGGTCAGGGATTACCCCCACTCTCAGGACCCACAAAAATGAAATGAAATGAAATAAGATCAGCTTATTTCTTTATGACTTTAGTGGATTTTAGTTCACTATGAACTTTTGCAACCAGGGCTATCCTATAAATGGTATGTGTGCATATAGTCATCCCAGAAATTCCCTAGAATTGAAGGGTGGAGAATATCTGCCCTGCAGCTATGTACAGCCTCAGAAATTATTGGGCACAATTATGGGATAGACATGTACGCCTTTTGTTTTTGGCTAGTCCTGGGGCTTGAACTCCTCAGTGCCTGAGCACTGTCTCTAAACTTCTTTTTTGCTCAAGGCTAGCACTCTACCACTTGAGCAACAGCGCCGGAGCTTTTTCTATGTATGTGGTACTGAGGAATGGAACCCAGGGCTTCATGCATGCGAGGCAAGCACACTGCCACTAAGCCACATTCCCAGCCTAACATGTATGCTTTTTATGGCTTGTCTTCCTGGAGCCTGTATTGATAACTTTGGTATTGTCTGCAAATAGTATTATAAATATCCAAATGACACTTGGCAGAAAAAGGCTTTCTATCCCTTTATCCTAAATTATGGGTTAGTGTCTATACTGTATAAATTTTTGCAATATTTTGAATATCATCCCTGCCTAAACCACAGGTGGGGAGTTTGAACTTGAAACAGCATAGATAGAGGTAAGGTATACTTACTATAGTAGAAGTAACTGTTTTTGCTTCTTCTAGATTCGTTCTCTGGAACATCACAGTGGCTATAAGGTCTCTGACCTTCGCTGTCTGGTCAGGAAATTGAATGTACTGGTGACTTTACAACCGTACAGCGAGTTCAAGACTGTGTATAACAAGTACTGTAGCCAGTAAGTACCAAGCTCTATCCACGTTGTATTTGTGCTCATTTATGGGAAAGCTTTAAAACTTTAGGATAAGAGGTATCTCACTTGAGGATCCAGACACTTTTCAACCTTCTTTCAACTCTAGAGATAAAACAAGATAGGAAACCAAGTGCACTATGTTTTGTCAGTGAAGTCTGTTTGGCCTGTTATACACTGAACCAAGCCCCCTTTCTTTTTGCAGGGTATATTATGAAGTTGCTAAAATAGGCCCCTTGGAAATGGCGGACCTGGAGGAAATTTTACACACTGACTGATAAGAATGAGGTCTTGGCACTCTGGCAGTAGCCTGTTACCAGAAAAAAAAAGCAAATATATTGGATTTATTCTGTGCTTGAATTTGTCATTTACCTTTCCTCGTTTTCCTAGTTTGTTTTATATTTTCCCAAATTTCCAATGTTGTATCTAAATGTTTTATGAAAAGAAGACATTGCTGTCATATTTGTCTATAAATTCAATAAAAACACTGTTTATTAAAGTATCTCACTCCCCCTCTTATTGCTCAGGAATAACATGTATAACTAAAGCAATTAATAACATGTATAACTAAAGCACTTAATTTTCCTGCCCAGTAAAGGCTATGTTTCAAGGACTAGCTTAACTAGTTTTCTCAATTCTCTGAAAGTTTTCCTGCCATGGGAAGAGAAATCACACTAAGTACAAATTGATAGATGGGTCTATAGAAGGAAGATCCTATGAATGGTGCTCAGTTTGAAAAGAAAGCATCTCCCTCCCTACCTCGCTGTCCCCCATGCACAAAGTAGTCCTCAGTGTTCAGAGCTAAAGTGGCTGATACTAGTTGGTCCTAATCTCTAGTTGCTAAATTTCTTTAATTCTTTGATAATGAAAAGTAGGGATAAGGATTTGAATCCACATGTAGCCCCACATTCATAATTAGGCAGCTTTTTTAAAGTCTAAAGCTCTAGAGTTAAAAAACTTTTTTTTTTGCTCTTCTGCTAAGACAAGGAATATCTAGCTGTGAAACGAGCATGATGTCCCACAAATGCAAGTATCAACTACTTGTCCAATATTTCATTCATAAAACCTAAGGAATCTCTTGTCTTTCTCAATCCAGTCTTCAGAGTGATGTGTACTGGGATAGTTACATCCATTTGCTAGAAGTTGAACATCCTCTATGTCAGGAGCCACTTTTTCATTCTTTTTCTAGGACTTCCTCATAGACAACAAGTAATGTTTGACCCAGCAGTAGACCTTTAGGACTCTGTTTTTTTTGTATGTATGGTGCTGGGGATTGAGCCCAGGGCCTTGCATAGGCTAGTTCTCTGTCACTTAGCTATATCCCTAGCCTTTTATATTATATTTTATTTTATTTTAATTGTGCTGGTACTGGGGCTTGAATTTAGGATTTGGGTACTGTCCCTTAGTGTTTTTTTTTTTTTTTTGCTCAAGGCTGATGCTCTACCATTTGAGCCAAACTTCCGCTTTTGGGTTTTTGATAGTTACTTGGAAATAAGAATCCCATAGACTTTCTTTCCTACCATGGCTGGCTTTAAACCATGTTCATTAGATCTCAACCTCCTGAGCAGCTAGGTTTATATTTTTATATTGAGATAAGATCACAATAAGTTTCCCCAGGCTGACACTAAACTTTTGATTCTTTTGTCTCATCCTCTTGAATAGCTGTGGTTACAGGTGTGTATCATTGCATTCTATTGTAAAGAATCTAGTATTGTGAATGGCAACTGTCTTGATTGGTCTATGTCTATTGGGTACCACCTGTCAAATATTTTGAATATTATTCTTGGGATGGACATCAATGAAGATACTATGGAGAAACACCTCTTCAATTCTGGCTTGAGACTCCCCATATAATGCTGGTCACATCACTTTTACTGATGGAACAGGGGGTAGGAGTATAAGGATGAAAAGTAGTTGGGGAGTTAGGCACTGGTGGTTCATGCTTATTATCCAAGCTACTCAGGAGGCTTGGTTCTGACGGTCAATTTTTAAAGCCAGCCCATAAAGGAAAATCTGTGAGAGTACTTCCAAATAACAACCAAAAAGCTTAAAGTGAAGGTGTAGCTCCAGTAGTAGAGTGCCAGCCTTGAGGGACAGTGCCCAGGCCTTGAATTTAGGTGCCAATGCTCTCTTTCTCTCTGTCTCTGTCTGTCTCTGTCTGTCTCTGTCTCTGTCTCTCTCTCTCTCTCTCTCTCTCTCTCTCTCACACACACACACACAAATCTGGGTATCTCAGTGCTTTCTGTCCACTTCGAATTACTTTCCTATTACCCTTCACAACTTGCTTTGCTTTGAAGACCAGGTACCATTAGGCTTCCTCCTGTCCCATGCCACACTTTGAAATATAATTAAAGGGTATAACCAGAGAGATCTGAGCTATTTGGCAGTGATTCTGCTGGCATACCTAACTTTGAAGAACTGTCCTAAAAGCATAGAACTGAAAGCTGATTTGTAAAGCTGCAGCCTCACTTAAAATAAGTATCTTTGTCCTGTGTTTTAAATTTTGGAGCTTCATATTATAGAAAAATCAACTTAGTTATCCTCCCTTTTCAACTCTAAGTGCTAATGAAACCATTAGTCATTTTTGTTGTTTGCACATGCCTCAAAATTTATTTGGTACTAACCACTACTTCAGAATTAAGATAGCTATTAGGACTAGAACTAAATCTTGTTACTTTGGTTATTTATTTATTTATTTAATGATTTTTATTAACATTCATTGTGCAAGGAAGGTTTTATAATGACATTTCCTTACAATACAGTGTGTATAATACATCCTGTTCAAACCCTTTATGTCACTTTCCCTCATCCTTTCTACTTCTGAAAAAAATTCCACATTTCAGTGTTCTATTATTCATACATGCAAATGAACTCTTTAGAACTTATTCATCATTGTCCCTCTTTATTGGCCATTTCCCACCCCTCTCTGTAATCCAGCCCTCTCCCCAGTACAGCCTGTTTTACTTTCCTGTCATTTTTAGTATGTATCATGGTATTTCAGATGGTCATAAATTATATTGTGTTCAGAATAACTCTCCCTATCATTTTGTCTTTCCATGCCCCTTATTGATCAACAATTTTGAGATTGTGTGTGTGTGTGTGTGTGTTGTGTGTGTGTGTGTGTGTGTGCACGTGCACACCAGTACTAAGGTTTGAACTTAAGGCTGGTGCTCTACCAGTTGAGCCATAGCTCTACTTCTGTTTTTTATTTGAGGAGGGTTAATGGGAGATAAGAGTTTCATGGACTTTCCTTCCCCCAGACTGGCTTTGAACTGCAACCTGCAGATCTCAGCCTCCTGAATAGCTAGGATTACAGGCATGAGCTATCATTCTCAGCTTCATTGAGATTTTTTTTTCCACTTGTGGGGCTTGAACTCAGGGTCTGGGCTCTCTTCCTGAGCTTTGTTGCTCAAGGCTAGCTCTCTACCACTTTGAGCCATAGCTCTACTTCCAGTTTTCTGGTGGTTAATTGGAGGTAAAGGTCTCACTGACTTTTTTGCCTGGGCTAGCTATGAACTGTAATCCTCAGATCTTAGCTTCCTGAGTAGCTAGGATTATAGGTGTGAGCCACCAGCACCTAGCTTCACTGAGATTTTTTTTACACCTTATTTACAATAGTTGCAATGTGTTTAGGAATAATTTATTCTCAATCTTTTTCCCTTTCCACTTAGGATTGTATTTGCTACTTAGGGTTATTTATGCTTGAATATGAAAGTTTCAATTTTTTCTATTTATGTGGAGAATGACATTGAGACTTTGATAGGTATTGCTGTGAATCTGAATATTGCTTGAATCTTACTATTTTGTGCCTTTATTGCAGAAGTACATCTGAAACTGGGCACGGTGCCACACATGAAAACATTTTCAACATCATTAGGTATCAGGTAAATGAAAATAAAAACCACAATTTCACACCCACTGCATATAAATTTTAAAAATTACCAGTGTTGGAGAGAATGTGGAGGAATTAAGACCCTCAAATGCTGTTGGTGGGATATAAAATGGTTGCAGGCACTTTGAAAAACAGTTTAAAAGGTCTTTAATGAATCATTACTTGGGAAAACAATCACTGGAAATTATATGGTTAATAAGTCATTCTTACAATTTGATGAGTTTATTGGACTTTCTTGTATCCTCTTTGGAGAAATATCTGCTCAAATATTTGGTGTTTTTAATTTTTTACATTTAAATTTTAATTTTTTTGGTGCTGGTACTGGGACTTGAACTCAGGGCCTGAGCAAAATCCTTTAGCTTTTTTTGTTCAAGGCTGGTACACTACCACTTGAGCCACAGCTCTATTTCCAGTGCTTTGCTTGTTAATTTGAGATCAGAATCATGGACTTTTCTGCCTGTATTAGCTTGGAATTTTGATCCTCAGATCTCACTCTGAGTAGCTAAGATTATAGACATGAGACACCAGTACCAGTATTTTTTGTTCCTTAAAAAAATGGGCCTTGTTGTGGTGGTTTCTTTCTGGCACATTTGTTAAGTTTCAAATGGGCCTGACTCTGCCACATACATTATATAGGAACTAACCAAGGCTTGAAGACAGATTGTCTTTAGCATTTTCCCACATCAGAGATTGGATCCCACATGTGGCAGAATGTCTCATATGTTTACTTTCTACAGACAGACTGACAGATGCTATCTGGCTTGAGGAGAGTCTGTGCTGAAGGGGTGTTTCTCTATCCCTGTGATGGACTTGTTTTTTAAACAATGGGCCTTTGTCTTTTTGTTATTGAATTATATGAATTCTTATGTAAACTCATATGTATATTTAATTTCTTCTCATTATATAGATTTTTTTCATTTCTTTCATAGTGTGATTCAAAACATAAAAGTTTATAGTTACAATAAAGTCCAACTCTATCTACTTTTTGACATTTAAAATTTTGATGGCATCTTAAAATCATCATGTAATTCAAGGTAATAAAAATGTATACAGAAGCTGGGCATGGTGGCACATGCCTATAGTTCCAACTACTTGGGAGGCTAAGGCAGGAGGACCATTTAAGCCCACATATTTGAGACCAGCGTGGGCAGCATAGTGAGACCCTATGTTCAATTTTTTTATTTTTATTTTTCCTTTGTCAGTCCTGGGACTTGAACTTGGGACCTGGGTGCTGTCCCTGAGCTTTTTCACTCAAGGTTAGTGCTCTAACACTTTGAGCCATCACTCCACCTCCCATTTTTTTAATACATATGTTTTTATAAGGTTTGAAAATAGTTTTAGCTGTTACATTTTGTTTCAAATCAATTTTGAGGTAATTTTGATACATGTCTGAGGTAGCACTTGACTTCATTATTTTACATGTGGATATTGTTGTTTTTTTTTCTAGGCCCTTTCTTGAAAAAATTGTTTTCCCCCTTTTTCAGTATCATTTTTGGAAATTAGCTATAAATACAAAAGCTTATTTTGAAATTCATAATTCTATTCCTTTTTTTCATTTACTATATGATATCTGTCTTTACGCTAGTACCACAATGTTGATTTTCTTTCTTCTTTTCTTTTTTTTTTCTTTTGTGGTGCTGCCAATTGAGCCCAGAGCTTTGTATATGCTAGATAAATACTCTACTACCAAGCTACATCTCTAGCACTCACAGTGATTTGAAGTCAAAGGCTGACCATTGTCCCTGAGCTTTTTTGCTCAAGAGTAGCACCACTTGAGCCACTGTTCTACTTCTGGCTTTTTGGTGGTTAATTAGAAATAACTGTCTCATGGACTTTTCTGCCTGGCCTGACTGCAATCCCCAAATCTCAGCCTGCTGAGTTTCTAGGATTACAGGCATGAGCCCTAGGTGCCTGGCTTTTTTACAAGCTGACATATGAAAGTGTACTACTATTAGTCTTAGAAAGCTCTGAAATTAGAATGCTGAATGAAGTAGTTTATGCCTGTAATCTCAGCACTTGTAATGTTGATACAGGATGATCATGAATTCAAAGCTAGCTTAGGCTATATGGTGAAACTGTGTGATGGAGGTATAGAGATATTTTTTCAAGGTGCTTTTGACAGCCTAGCCTGTATTCCTGGCTCACTTCATGTCTCTAATAACTAATTCATTTATTTATTTTTTTATTGTCAAGGTGATGTACAGAGGGGTTACAGTTACATATGTATGGTAATGAGTACTTTTCTTGTCAAACATTGTTACCAACTAATTCGTTTATTGAGATCTGTATCCTGCAGAGAATTGGCTTCTAGGACAATTACAGTAGCAGATATTTACCCACACTATTGTGTTGAGTTTTAGCTATGTTTTAGATTCCTTGTGGAAGCTCTTTTAGTATTATGATTAACTCTGATGTTCAGTCTTGCTGTTGCCCAGCCTCACTTGACATAGTTACATGTTTAGAGTTTGAAAGTTTACTCTAGTACATTCCTTATTTCTACTACCCATTCAACACCCCATATTGAAGTAAATGATGAGGCACTGGCATTGGTTATATTTATTCATTTATTAAAATATTTTAAGAAGCAATACATCATTAACTTTGAGGACTGGTGCTCCATTTTTGGGGGTTGGGGAGAGGAATAGGCACACTTTGTGGATCTTGTTTTCTGTTTTGTTCCAGTTATTCCATGACTATTCCCATTTTCCTCCCCCAGCCAGCCCCTGGCCCTGCTTATTTGCAGAGGCCTCTGAGGAAACAACAACAAAAACAAAATCACAGGAAAGAAAACAATGAATTACAGATTAGCAGATTAATAAATATAATTCCACAAACCATATAGCCAATCAAAGTCCCTTATAAGATGGAATGGTGTGAATGGTTTGGTTGCTTTGGTATTCGTTTCTATTTGTTATGAAACAAATTCTATTTGTGTCCTGAGGGAAGATGATGTTGACCTGAGCTGTTTCTTCTAACTTCATTATTAATCTGAATCTCTTCCTTACTCTTCCCTTGTCCTGTATGTAAAATCCAGTACAGGGCCTATTATGGATAACTGCTTATCTCCTATAGTATTGACACCAGAAGTCATTAGTGGTAACTCAAATCTATTAGCTTTTTCCTTCCCTACTTTTCTTCCAACCAGGAATTACCCACCTAACAATTCTTTTGCAACTGGTATCAAAGATGCAACCAAACCTCAGAGCTTTGGCTCCTAATGATTTCTGGGCATAACTGAGATGGATGTTTGGTGACTGGTCCCACCACCTGAACAATCATATTATTGCAATCATAGTTACAATCAAGTCCTGAAAGGAGCTTATGTTCTCAATGGCCAAGGCAACTCTCTGAAGAGAACCATCACTTCTTGCTTTGTGTGCAATTTAGTACATACATGAGCAGGTGTTCAGCAAGAAGGTAACTGAGTGATTTAGCAAGCCATTTCTGCTCCTGGGCCTTGTTATCTAATAGTTTGGCTCCATTTTTGGCTCTAGTCCCAAATCCAGGTGGTTTGATTCAATATCATTCTGACTCAGGTGGAAGGACAGAGGATGAAAGGGAATCCAGATGGTACAATAGAGCAATATCAGAATTACAGTGCACATTGATCAATAGTAAATACTTCAGCAAAGTAAGCACAAGAGATGGATTTCTATTACAGTTCACTATCATCAGTGATCAAAATAATTACAAGACATAGCCCTGCCTAGTCACTGCTAAGATAAGACTTCCTTCTATTTCCTTAAGTTTGTCTGGAAATTTTCCCTTTGGGAAAGGTTCCTCTGAGAAGAATGCAACTTGGTTTCCAACTCTGTGAGTGTATGTTCAGATGTTAATTTGTGCAGCCAAGGAGGAGCCAAGTCAACTACAATGGAGATCTTGCTAATTAGATTGAATACCTCCTCCTGGGAAAAACAAGTGAGGCAGAAAAAGCCAAAGTCACAGCAACAGCACACTCCCCACTCAGATACTGTAAGTTAACACATTTTGATGCTTAAATGAATTTAAAAATGTTTTCTGTCATATTTTCACACTGACTTTCTTCTTTAGTTGTAGAGCTAGGACTTTGTTTTTGGTCTGGCACAACCATCAGATGTTTGGAGACTATTCCTTTTTTTTTTTTTTTTAGTATTTTTCTCCTTACCCCTGCAGAGGTGGAACACAGGTGGCTGGTTTAAGTGGGTTAGGCTGGTGTTTCTAGAGTTGAGAACCAGTGCTTGAGTCAGGATTGTGCACCTCAATGAACCAGCCATTAGACTGAGTCAGGGGACTGAGACACTAAGTTGAGAAGTGAGGAGAGGCCAGTTTTCTGAATTTCTTTTGATAGTGGGAAGGGACAACTTCTCCAAAGATATGAATTGAGGATGAGGTGTGGGTATAAGAAGAATACAGAGAAAACCTCTCTGGTGGTGGGTTTTGAGTAGATTTGCCTGACTATGAACATACATTAAAAAAATCAATTTAGAATTTGGAGCAATTTAGGCTTAGTTTGTTTTCACAAGTACTTTAGAACCATGATGGACTTTTAAGTTTTTATTTCCCCAGGTCCATGTTATTTCTAGTCATTCTGATTGGCCCTCTGTTACTCAAGGGAAAGGGACAAGATGAGAGCTTTGAAGATAATTTGGAGACTGAGTCAATATGGAGAAGAGTGTAGGCTGTGACTTGATTGTAAGACAGTCCCTAGCTTGGGCATCCAAGCAGCCAGAGCTCAAGATCTGGTTGCTCCATGTAGTCTTTTTATTGGGGAAGAGGGCAGTATACATTGGGGCAATTGCTGATGTTGTATTCAGAACAAAGCATAAAAGGTAGCATATGCCCTCCTAGCCCCTTCTGTAGGACATTAGTATTTTTGTTCCCCTTCCGTGGCCTGGTTCAGAATTTTAAGTGGGTGTCAGATTCAACTGGGATATAGATAGATCCCAGCTACTTCTAAGACACTAAAAATGCACCAAAAATTAGAAGCTCCACCAAGAACTAGGGCAGAGATGTATGTGTGTGCAGAATAATGGGAGTAGGGAAAGATTCCTGGGTTAGCACAATAAATTAGAGGGTCACTTAGAGGTTGAGTTGTATTTTCAGTTCTTAAAAATATATTTATATATACATATACATCTTTATGTCTTTCTATATAATCTATACTGCAGCACAGCGGCAAAACATTTAGTTAAAAATCCAGCGCAAATGCAGGGAAACTCCATGGAGGCATGTGAGGCAGCAGGAAGGGAGCCTGTATGGTTGCCCTGAGGGGTGAATTCCAACCAATGCACCCACCCAGCCACCAGAGCACCACCTGAACATGTGCAATGACATACATGCACACAAGGAAAAATATTTGCAGAGAGAGAGGGAGAATATATAGGAGAGAGAAAGTAAGAGAAGAGAATGTGAGAGAAAAAAGTGAGAGCAAGAGATTATAAAATAAGAGTTGAGAGTAAGAGGAAAGAGAACAGAATATGAGAATGCAAGCAAGCTAGCAAGTGAGAGAGATTGACTCCCATGTCTGAGAGGAAAGATTTCAAATAATCATTGTAGCAGGCAAGCAGAAAAGCCCCCAGGACTTAGATCATCTTAATGACCCAACGAGGGGACATCTTTTGAAATTTCAATTTGTAGTTGGCAGGGATTGAGGAAGAAACTCAACCAAGTTTAGCTGTCCTTCCCCTATGTTTTCATCTCTCTGAGAGTCATTCATTCATTCATTCATTTGGGTTAACAATTTCTCTGCCAGTGAGAAAAAGCCATTCCCAAACTCCCTGATGAGGTACCCTCCTTGGATCCCTACAGACCCCAGGCCATTCAGAAAGAGCTTATCCGAATACACACTGTAGTAGTTGCTCAAGATACACAAAGAGAAGGGGAACTGAACAAGACAACTCAGAACAAGAATCTTTGGCCAATGAGAAAATATAAACCTCTAAGGAGACCTGATTAAGTCCAGGGACAATGTATTAATGCAAGGAATTTGAGGGTCTTTCTTGGTGGTGCTCATGTTTGTTCAGAAATAATTTAGTCCAGCCTATATTGAGGTTTTCAGAGTTTTAGTAGAATTCTAAGTGCTTTGAGTTCTTCCAGATCTCAAGGGCTACAGTTGAGAACTTGATGATGTTGGAAGATCATCACCCTTTGTTTCATCTTTGCGATATCTGCGATGCCACAGATTCCCTTCAGAGGAAAAAAATAAGGATGGAAATAATAAGGTTAGTACTTTGCCAGATGCTCAAATATGTGAACCTCAAAGAGAGTAAAAATTCTATTAGGAGATAAACTGGTTTGCTTCTATTTTATCAACCGTCTCTGAATCATTGAGAAGGCCAGCTGATACCATATGAGCTAAACACAAATGGGAGGAAGTTTTTGAAACTAAATACATTTTAAGCCAGGCACTGGTAGCTGATGCCTGTAATCCAGCTATTTAGGAAGCTGAGATCTGAGGAATGTGGTTCAAAGCTAGCCTGGGCAGGAAAGTCTATGAGACTCTTACAATTAACCACCCCAAACCGGAAGTGGAGCTGTGGCTCAAAGTGGTAGAGTACTGGCCTTAAGCAGACAAACTCAAGGACAAGGTCTCAAACCTTGAGTTCATTTTAATAGAAAAACAAAATACAAGATAACTCTAATCCTTTTCTGGGAGGAATTTTTAAAGCCTGATATTCTATGGAATGGATATCAGTTCTTTCAGTCTTTAGAAACAACTGCTCTCAAATACCATGGAATACCATGTGGCAGATTCTTAAGGAATCAAACTAGGTTGACCATACTTGGGAAAATACCTCTTATTCCAAGACATTCTCTCTGGTATCTGGGTGAACTCTTAGTTCTTCAAGACCAAAACAAACTGATACCATGGAGCCTTTTTTCTGATGCCTGCTACTGCTATTATCTCATAAGTTTTCAGGTTGTCTGGGGCTCTGGATTTAGTAGATACTATAGATATCAGAGTTAACACAACTAACACCTATAAGAACTTTCTTTAGTTCACATTGACTTGCCAACAATGCTTAAGAGCAATTATGAAGAAGGACAAGATAGAACAAAATCAAACAAATCTGTAGAAAACTTTTATTTCCTATTTCTAAGGACTGGCTATATATATAGCAGAAAGTATTTAGATGGATAATTTAACCTTTTCCTATGCTTAGAAATGATTCAAGCAGAAAAATAATTGTTTGATTGCATTTTCTTTTCAGTTGTGCATAGAAATTGTTGTGCTACATAGAAATATTCCTTCTCATGTTGTCCCCCTACTAGTGCCATATAACTTTTTAACTCTTACATTGTCTAAGAGACTGCTTGACATTAACTAATATTGAAAACCACTTGGATTCTCCATAACTACCACACCAATGAATATTTTAAATTGGGGCATCAGGTTCCTTAGAGGCACCCAAGCTACTGGGTATTTTTCCATGAGCTCTATGCTTATAGAGGAGACTTACCAAGAAAACCATGGAATCTTGGGGCTGCTTTAGGCTTGTCTTCCTCTTCTAGCTTTTTTTTCCCAAATTTGAGAAATTTAGCTTTTATCCTGAGGCTTCTACTATCAGTATCAGAAGACTTTTCCTGGGAAACAAAAGCAAGAAGAAGGTTGAAATGGTAGTTACTTAACATTCCAAAATAATTCCTATGGGTCCAGTAAGGTGGTGAACAGGAGAGCTACACAATACAGGCTGATCTACTCTCTATCTAGATATGGGAGACACTCCTACTCACTGGACACATCCTGAGAAAAGAATTGATTATTACCAAGAGCCTACTCATTGCCAGGTACCTTGCTAGATAGGTCAATAAATGTTCTCCTATAAGCTTCAAAATACTCCAATACACCAAAGTGTTTCATATAATTTTTATATTAGAAATAAAGCAGAGGTTCAGGGAGATTTAAATATTACATGTGAAATCATATGACCAGGGATTAGAAGTGTGAAACAATCAGTATCTTAGCTAGCTCATGACACTTGCATGAATTAGAAAAATCCTCTCTTTCATACATACAGTTGATGAATCCCTGCTCAATCTCTTAACCAAGTGCCTCCTATAGGGAAAAAAAACCTGGCCTTCCAGGCTACCCACTTCCAGTCTAGAATGCAAAGGACTCTTTAACCACATCTCTAATTATGAATATGGGCTCTCTTTTTTGCAGATAATATAAGCCTGCTGGTTTAGTCTCACTCCTAAGAAAGTGTTATCAGTATGCTATTAGTCTCAGCATAACAATCTGAGGTTGACTTTCTTGCCAAAAATCCAGCCAAACATATTCCAAGGCACTGGGGTCATCTTCCTTTCAGGATTATTTATACCTCCAATCCTATCTATTAGGAGAAAGGTATAAACTTATCTTCCTCCTCTTCCTGCTCTGACTTCCACTTTACCCTCTATGCCATACTACTACTCCTGGCTATGTATACCAGCTTTCAGAATTAACCTTTCAGAAGTAACTTCAAGGAAAGGCACAAGACTGTACTTGCCACCAAAGCCTTGGAAAGCCCAATGAATAATTGACTCTTAATCTTGTTTTCCCCAGCAAAGTCGCTGGCTTCCCTCTGCCTATCTTCTTTATAGCCTCCTTCTGGAGCTCAGAAAAGAGCTTATGTCCTAGGCCAGGAAGATTCCCATATAAATTAGGATCTCAGGGTATAAACTGTTATTTGCCTAATTTATTTTAGTATCTATCCCATTTGCCTAGCTTAGGAGCTTGGTAAGACATAACTGTACTAAGTAATTATGTAATGGGGATAAAGAGATTACCTTTCTTACTCTCTAATAGTAAGTTTTCTTTCCCCAGAGTATTACTAATCAAGAATATTGAGTACAAAAGGCCTAAGGTACTTGGGTCATCAGCAAAAACATGCAAGAAAATGTTTTCATTTTTAAGGTATGTTATTTATATGGATTGTTCTCCAAAATGGCAGTACACATGTCTAAGTATGTGTATATAACTTGTTCACATGCATATAACTGGTATTGGAACCAGAAAGAAGTATAGTGAGGAGGCAGAGATTCTAACAGATTGAAATGAATGTTTCTGTGGTAGGGAATTTTTAAGAAAAACTGAGAGATCACACAGAGATAATTTAATTATGTGTGAGCATATTTGAGTTATTTAATTTATGAAAAAGGGATAATTCTTCAAAGTTAGAGAAAAGCACAAACTCAAAGCACAACTCATAGTTGTCAAAAATGACATCATCCTTATAACTATGCTATTGCCATTCTTTTTTTTTTGTCAGTCCTGGGCACTGTCCCTGAACTGTTTTTGCTCAAGGTTAGTACTCTTATCACTTTGAGCCACAACTCCTTCTGGTTTTTGGGTGGTTAATTGGAGGTAAGAGTCTCACAGACCTTCCTGCCCAGGCAGTCTTGGAATTGCAATCCTCAGATCTCAGCCTCCAGAGTAGCTAGGATCAGAGGCCTGAGCCACCAGTGCCTGGCCATTCTTTATTTTCTCTTAAGCCACATGTCTGCTGAGGCAGGCACTGGAAAGATCTTGCTAACCTCACAGTGGCAGGAGTCAGGAACAAGGTCACAGGCCGGAAGCAGCAGGGAGAGATAGCATTTGGAAGATTTAACTATCAATATGACCTGAACATCACTTAAACAGTTGTTGCCTGTAAACAGCTGGTATGGCCCTGCTGGTATGAACCAGATGAACTTTAAGCACTTGGTAGCAGGTACTGAGTAGGGAAAGTTTACAGTCAGAATAACATAAAAAAAACAATCTTGCCCTTCCTTGTTTTCTATTTTCTTGCTTTTTTTCTTTCCCTTCCCTCCCTCCCTACCTCCTCCCTCCCTCCCTCCCTCCCTCCCTCCCTCCCTTCCTTCCTTCCTTCCCTCTCTCTCTCTCTCTCTATTTCATTCATTCTTCCTTTCTCACAAGCCACCACTAGGTTTTTGGTGGTTAACTGGACATAAGAATCTCATGGACTTTGCTGCCTGGGCTGGCTTTGAATCAAGGTCCTCAGATCTCAGCCTCCTGAGTAGCTATGATTATGGGTGTGACCTACTGGAGTCCATCCCTTTTCTTTCTTGAACATGTCCTGCTATAGGGTTGGTCTTTTTTTCTGGTTATTTTTCCTTAGTCATCTAACTTTTCATGTTTTCTGCCTTCTTAAGGGGAACAGGATGTCCCATCCAGGTTGAAGTTGAAAGCTGCCACTAACTCCCTCTATTACATCAGGCACTATGTAGGGACCCACATGGAAAGGTAAGGAATCAAGGGAAAATTCCTTTCTTCCTTTTTATTTCCAACTTTCCAGGTTACTCACCTCTGGAACAAGGATAGGATTCATCCAAGCGATCTCTGATAGCTTTTCAAACTCTCTATTCATGGCATCTAGAGCATTTTGTAGTGTGGTGTTATCTTCAGCATTTCTCAACTAGTACAGACAGGAAAATCAGTGAGTGTCCAATGCACAGCACCTGCCTTCATAGACTCTTGTTCTCTTCCTTACTACCAGTCCCTGCTTGTGGGGAAGATACTAGAGGGTGAGAATTTATAGCTCCTTTGGTCTATAATCCGTTTTTTTTTTCTTTTTCAAGAAAGGTAGGACTCTTCTTGGGGCTGAGCATGCTCACTGTTTAGCAAGTAAAAGTTTTTTTGTTCAGCATGAATTAGCACTGAGTTTTCCCTTACAGCTTAGGGTCTAGGACAAGAGTCCTACACTTCACTTCAAGTTCCTGGAGCCATCCTAGAGTCCTTCTAGAATAATAGCTACCAAGCTTTGAGCACATGGTGTATGTTAGGCACTGTGCACACAATGTTATTCCAGCTCCCACAATAGCTTTATAATACTTACCAAGATACTTTGATTCTCATTTCATAAGTGAGAAATCAGACTCAAAGAAGTTTAGTGCTCAGGATCAAATGACTAATAGAACCATATCTCAAGATCCTACCTTTCATACAACATTGTTCTAGTTTGCTAGATGCTGGAGGAATCTGTATTACATACGTTCTATAATTTAAAAGCTATTTTGTGAAGTGAGGAAAGAGAGCTAGAGATACACTGCCTCAAATATTTCCTTTCTGACAGAGGACCCGCCTCAATAGGCTATGCTGTAACCCCTAGCCATTTTCTCTTAGTAATTAAAAACAAGTTCCAGGTGACTTGTTCCATAGTTTTGGGAAACCAAGCTTAAGTGTTCCATAGTAGCCACCAGAACCCACAGTATAAACTCCAAATAATGTCATAGAAGATTAAAATAGATTTTTCTAAGACAATCTCTAATTCAGAAGATTATTTATATTCCAGTAGGTAATGAGCTTGGAACACAGAAACATAGTTATATATTTAACTCTGACAGTCTTACAGACAATCTAACCTGGCCTTACTTTCCTTCCTCATTATCTACTTTTCTTTCAATAGAACTTTTGTGGCTTTTTGCTCAAGGCTGATGCTGTACCATTTGAACCATACCTCCATTTCTAGCATTTTTCTAGTTAATTAGAGATAAGAATCTCACAGACTCTTCTTCATGGGCTGGCTTCAAACCACAATCCTTCTATCTCAGTCTCTTGAGTAGGTAGGCTTGAGTCACCAGCACTAGATTATAATAGTTTATTAAATCTTCACAACAATCTAGACTGCTAAGGATTGTAACTCATATTTTGTAGTTATGGAAATAAATACCCAGAGATGTGAAGTTACTTCACACAGCTATTATTTTGAGTTGAATTGTGTCCACTCAAATGTTGAAGTCCCAATTCCCAATATGACTTCATTTGGAATTAAAGTCAATGCAGATATAATTATTGTTGAGGTCATATTGGATAGGGCAGACTCCAGCTCAACATTACTCATATCCTTAGAAGACAGTAAGACAGACACAAAGAGATTGCTATGTGAAGCTGAAGACAGATTAGAATGATAGAGCTATAAACCAACACACACCAAAGATTTCTAGCAAACCACCAGAAATAGAAAAAGGAAAGAAAGTCTTTCTCTACCAGTTTCAGAGGGAGTACAACCCTGCTAACATCTTGATTTGGGATTTCTAGCTTTTAGAACTGCAAGACAGTACGTTTCTGTTGTTCTAAGTTCTTGATACTTAGCTATGGCAGCCTTAAAAATATATAAGTATTAAGTAACAGGTTTAAAATTTGAGCCCAGATTTCTCCAGTCATCCCTTTATTTCAAATTGCCTTCTTTGTACATAGAGAAAGAGGTATGTAGAAACTTGGGATCTATAAAGCAGCTCAAAACTCACTCTTTTATGTTGTATAAGGTATGAAGAGAACAACACTCTACATTTGATTAGCCTAATCTACCTGGGAGATATTTGCCAAGGGAGAGATTTTCTTTCAAGGGTATGTAATCCCTATGACTTAGCATTATCTATGAAGTAATAAAATCAGTGACAATCCTGGTTGACAAAGCAAAACTTCTGGGCAGGCAAAATGTTCCTATGTTTCCAGTACCCTTGAATTAGGTACAAACTGTCGCCATCTTTACATGGGATGCTTTGCCCTCCCATGCTCCAACCCCCTGCACTCACCAAGTTTTCTTCCAGGAAAGCTTTGGTGTCATCGTAGAGCCCTTTAAGACTAAATGTAACATCTACTGCGTCATTTCTGCTTAGAGTCTGAGAGAAGGAGGAAAGGAAAGGAATGGAAAGGAAGTGGACAAAGACAGAAGAGTTGTTGGTTAGTAAGCATGCAGTTGGCTTCTCCATTGGAATGTAGGAACAGGCTAGTAAGATGTGGGCTCTAAATGAAAAAGTAATATTCAAAATATGGCACAAGTGCACCAACCAATCAGAACTGATACTAGCTTTAACTAGTACAGGTGCATCCTATAAATTGGCACAGCACAACTTAGCTTTTAGTATCCTTTATTAGGTATAGTGGGTATAGGAAAATAGGAAATATGTAAACCAGAGAGCAAATATGAGGAGATTAATTGTCCACAGGCTAAAATTATCTTAGTCCTGCCTAATAGAGTTAAGCCCAACTATATAGGCCTTAGGTTCTGGGCCTCCTATAACTAAGTTATGGCCAAAAATAGTCAGCACACATTTTAGCAAACCCTGGCTCTATTATATTTTATCTAGTTCTAAAGTTGCCTATATTTTTGTGCCAGTCCTGGGGCTTAAACTCAGGATCTGGGCATTGTCCCTGAACTTTTTGCTATCACTTGAGCTACAGCTCCATTTCTGGCTTTTTGGTAATTAATTGGGGATCAGCATCTCATGGATTTTCATGCCCAGGTTGGCTTTGAACCATGGTCCTTAGATTTCAGCCTCCCAAGTATCTAGGATTATAGGCACAAGCCACTAGCACTTGCCTTAAAATTATCTTTTTTCCAGTGCTGAAGATCTAACGCAGGGACTTCTGCCTTCTAGCCAAGGGTTCTACCACTTACCAATATCCTCCAGTTCTAAAGTTACTTTTCTTTATTTTTTAACAAAAGGACTTTTTATTGTAAAGATGATATACAAAGCTAAAGTTACTCTTTTTATTGTTGGTTTTGGGCTTGAACTCGGGGCCTGGATGCTGCCCCTGAACTTCTTTGTGCTCAAGGCTAGTGCTCTACAACTGCAGCCACAGCACCACTTCTGATTTTGGAGTGGTTAATTGGAGATGAGTGTTTCACAAGGACTTTTCTGCCTGGGCTGGCTTTGAATCATGATCAAAAGATCTCAGCTTCTTGAGTGTCTAAGATTACAGGCGTGAATTACTGGTGCCTGGCCTAAAGTTGCTTTCTAAAGCATCATTTAGATCTCTTGAGAGTGGGTAAACCATGAGATTCTACATTTGACACTTAAGTGTCTTATCTGGACCTTTCCTACAGGAGGGAAGCCAAAGCACTCTGAAGCTCTGGTTACAGTGGTGAGTGTCATCTTCTGAGGTTACACAGCAAACCACCTGGGATAAGGAAGGTCCGAGACTAAGTTTCTATCCACTCATTAACATTTTTTCCTGAGGCTATGGATAGCTATTGGGAAAGAAATCTTGTCCTCAGATGGATGAAATCTGTTGTGGGATTCCCTAAGGAAGTAGCTTTTTTCTTGCCTTTCAAAAAGTCAAGGAATGCCTTCCTTCTCATCTACTCTCTTCATTGGATCCATGTGCTAATGCACAACCTCTGGTTCACCTTCCTTCCCTTTCAACCCTTTTCTTATCTAATTTGACTCCTGTCCTTCATCTGTCCCTTCCCCCTTACCTCAATGGGAGTACAGTAAACTGCAGCTGCCTCACTGTCAGTGTCTTGTGGATAAAATAGATCATTCAGGATGTTAGTGCTGGCATTTACAGAATCCATGAGGACAGACACATGCTGGTGGACCTTGCTCAGGTCATTGAGGCTGTAATAAAGTAAAGAAAGATAGATGAACTAGAAGCTTTAGGTTTCTGGCCTAGATGCTGATGGGTAAAGTATAGAAATAAAAGCTCTGGGTACTGGATTTTAACTCTTTACTCCTTCTTGTTATTTTTGTTCTCTAGATTGCCACAAATAACAGAAAATGTTTTACTCTTCTCTAAGTATTCATCCTTGTTTATGTTTTTTCTTCTGAATTTAGATACAGATATAGGAATTTGAATAGGTTGAGGGGCTACAATAAAGAAGGGTAGCTCATTCCTGAAGAAACTCCAAGGCCTTTCTGATAGTTAAAGGCAAGGATAAACATTTTTAGTTCTGTTAGGTTGGCAGCAGGAGGAAATCAATATTTATTTCTGGATCTAAGGAAAAATCTTGAAACTAGCTAAATGCTGAAAAAAAAAAGAATATTTCATGCATAGAATTGTCAGGGCTGTTAATCTTCAGAGGATTGGATAAGATACCTCTCTGAGGCCAACTTCCCGAGTAGCTGACAGACAAAAATTGGCTGCTTCTCACTGTTCCTTCTTGGATTTCCTACTCCTGTATCTAGTCAGTTCACTTACCTGCTAATGAGGTTTTCTGCAAGCTGAGCTAAATGCTTCATCTGGGCATATTCCTCATCAGAGAGGCTGTCTTGAGATTCTTGGGAGTCCAGCTGGGGTTGAGGTATAGCTTGAATTTCAGTATGTTTGTTTTCCCATATTTTCATTGAATTCTCAAAGTCCTGTAGATGGGTACAGTGACATATCCTAATGATTGCTGTAGTTATAAGGGCATGTGACAGATCTGAGTCTGACATTTGTTGGTAATGTGTGGGTATAGTGGTTAAAAAGGAAGCAGGGTCCGCTGTTCATTCCCCTGTATACCCATCTATGCCTTTCTCTATTTAACATCTTTTCTGTTCTAGGTACTTCTAGTTTTTGTTGTTTAGACTCTGGGTTATAAGAGATCAATCTTAAATTACACAGATAATTGCTTTCAAGAAGCTTGGATATGAAGACACAATTACCAGCGAGTAAAGTACCTTTCACACTCCTTTCTTTGTCAAATATAGGATATACATTATGATAGAATTTAGAGTAAGACTATCAAATATAATTTGTGTGTTGTGTGTGTGTGTGTGTGTGTGTGTGTGTGTGTGTGCCAGTGCTGAGGCTTGAATTCAATCCCTAAACTTTTTTGCTCAAGGTTAGCACCCTACCACTTGAGCCACACCTCTACTTCTAGCCCTGGTATTTTTCTCTTGGATAGTGGTTTGCAAATGTCATTATGTATTTCAATGTCTTGAGGAATTTCTTTACAAAATACAAGCTCTAGGAACCCCTTCTCTCCATTCTGTTCATTGGGTCTTCTGTGTGACCTAGAAGTATGTATTTATAACCAGCACCCCAGGTGACTGGGGTGCAAGGAGCATGGAACTTCCTTTAGGGGAGTTCTTATTTGCATACTCATGTGCTAGCTATAAATAAAGCAGTGTCAGGACCCAAGATGGGCCTGTCTCCTCTTACCCGATCTCTCATCAACATCTGGGCAGCATTTTTGTATCTAATCTTTATTAGGCCTGGCCTCTGGACCCAGGCTTCCCCATCCACCTGTACTGGAATACCTTCTTCACCATCGATGGTTATCATCACCTCACGGCACTGCCAAAGAAGAGGAGAGAGAATAAAGAAGAAAAAAAATGAAGTAATCACAGTAGACTAATATAGATAATTTCACAGTCACAACCTGAGTCTGAAGTAGCAATGGCAAAGTTATGAATCAGATTGTTCCAAGGAGAAACACCTGTTTCCTATGACCTTTTATTCTTTAGTTCCTGTCATTTCCATCTCTGTCCTCAGCCAGCACTTTCCTGTCTGCCAGATAACCAGCTTTCTTTCACCTTATAACTCCTATACCCAAGTAATCCCTGGTATTACCCCATGACCCCAAAAAACTCAGCCCCTTCTTGGTGCCACTCCAACCCCATGCATACCTGGGCAATTCGATGGTGATGCAAATTGATGATGCGGGACATGGCCATCTGCACAGAACCAAAGATTGCCACGACCTCCAGCTTCCCATCATCTATTGCTGGAGCCTCATATTCCTAAAGAGGAAGAACTGTGTCACACCCCCTCTCCCCTTTGAGAACCATACTTCTTCTATAGCCAACAATTGTGCTTTGAAGACTCCTGATGATATTTTTCTAGTTTATGTAGAGTGGGAAAAAGTTATTAAAAAGGGAAAAGTTGAGGTGAGGAAGCTAATCTGGGAAAAGGATAATGATATTGCAATAACTTTGTAGTCCCCTTTAAGATGACAACTCAAAGCTGTTTTTCCCCTTGTTCAATTTAGCACTATTGATACCCAAAGCCTCATGGCCTTCTTGGGTAAGTTCAGAGGAAATTGTTCATGGTTTGTTTCCCAGGAGATTTTGTTGGTAGACCCCTTTAGGAAAAAGAATACAGCCTGTAACCTTTAGAGGATCTGTCAAGGCTAAGGAGTGGGAAATTTAAAAGCCTAGGCATCACCTAAGAATTAAACTAATCTTAAAGCATTTAGTTAATTCTGTGCTCTGGGATGGTAGTTGCCTAGGCCTGTGGGTATGGCTTCAGTGGTAAAGCACCTACCTAGCAAGTACCAAGTCCTGGATTTTAAACTGCAGTGCTGCCCTTTAAAAATATAGCTATGACTTAGTTGCTCTGGGTCCAAGAATTTACCATCAAGCAGCATCTCCACAGCCCAGAGAAAGTTACTCAGTTAATTCTGAGATGGAATTTGTCTAAAAAAATGATCCTACAGCTACTGCTGTTAAAGATTTCCAGACCACTTCCTTTTCTCCCATTTGCCATTTCCCACTCCAGCCATCCTAACTCCTTTCTGAGAGACTACCAGGTTCATGCCTTCCTCTCACCCTGTTCTCTGTTCCATACTCACCGTGGTTGCTGTATTGCTTCCCCAGAAGTTGACACCTCCAGCATAACTGGTAATATTAAGCACTACAATTCCTTGCAGATTTGGCAAGGAGATAACTTCTCCATCACACTGAAAGAAAGAAAAAAAAGAGTAGTTGTTACTATCTTTTGCGTGATTTGTCTTTTATATGCATGCTTCTTTTTGTCATTGGAATGTCCCAACATGAAGGGACATTTTATATTGTGGATGAGGTTTTAACTCAGTTCCTTGCATTTACAAAGCAGGTGCTTTACCACTGAGCCACACCTACAGCCCCAAATATCCTTCTTAAGGCAGTATTAGGTTTGAATTCAGGGGCTTTTGCTTGCTAGGCAAGAGCTCTACCACTTGAGACACATCCCCAGCCCTTTGAAAGGAAATTTAAGGAAATTGGAAAGGGCTTTCTTTCTCTTTTTTGTCTTTTCTTTTTTTGGTACTGGGGATCAAACCTAGGATATTGCACTTGCTAGGCAAGTGCTTTGCCACAGCTACATCTCAGACCTCTCTTTTCTTCATGCTATCATTTTCTTATCCATAAATGGAAATGTGTGGAGTACTGGTAGCTCGCACCAGTAATCTTAGTTACTCAAGAAGTTTTAAGCCAAGACAGGTAGTAAAATACTCTTATCTCCTGTTCATTGCCAAAAAGCTGGCAGTGTAGCTATAGCTTAAGTGGCCCAGCACTAGTCTTGAGCAAAAACACTCAGGGATAGCCTCAGGAACAGCATACACACACAAAAAAGGAAATTCATCCTCATGCCCTCCCCTTCCTTTCATGCATGATGAGTGAGGATCACAGAATCAAGTCTTTGATCATAGGAGAAAGTTAGTTTCCAAGGCTATGTAATTTCCTTTTTCATACACAGGAAGGACCATTCTTGTTTCTTTTTTATATGACAGTTTTTTAAAATTACCATAAATCAGTTGCACAAGGAGGGTTTTAACTGTGACATTTTCACACAGTATACATCATATACTGTTCAGCCTTACTCTATCATTCTTCCCATTTCAGTCCCCATTAAAACTGTTTCAACAGGTCTCATTGTTTGATTTCAACCACTTCCATTTCTACTAACCTCCAGGTGCAATCGTTCTTCCAGTTTCCTGTAAGACCGCTGCAGTAGTTCCTTGCCTCCCAGAAGACCATACCATATCTTGTTCTTAAAGCGACTACTATAAGGAGATTAAGGAAGAGAAAGATAGTCAGGAGGTAGGATAATATAAAGATAAATGAATGGGGAAAAGGAAAGGGAAACTATTTTATTCATAAATGCCTTCTTCTAGAAGGAATCATGTTAGATGGTAGCTGGTCACAAGAGGTCTACTAGACTGGTATTCTCATCTAGCTACTTCTGGAAACTGATTGACGAGCTTCTCTGAATCTATAGCATTCTGTTGCTAGATAAAATTTCCACTTCTCAAGCTGGTGCAGGTGGTTAATGCTTATAATCCCAGCTACTCAGAAGGTTGAGATCTGAGGATTGTGGTATGAAGGCAGCCTAGGAAGGAAAGCCCGTGATACTCTTATCTCCAATTAACCAGTAAAAAGCCAGAAGTAGAGTTGTGACACAAGTAGTAGAGTACCAATCTTGAGCAAAAATCGTAATAGACAGTGGTTAGGCACTGAGTTTAAGCCCCAGCACTAGCATAGACAAAAATCCCACTTCTCCTTGCTGCCAGTATTGGTCCAGACTTAAAAGAAGCAAGCTATATTTTAAAAAAAATGCTCAAAAAATAGCAATGCTCATAAAAAGCTATGAGTAGAGCTAGCTGACTTACAATAGCTATCCTTACAGTGCCCTTCCAGGAGCACAAGATTTTATTTACTTGGGATCAATTTTATTTTAAACAGCTGGTTCTTTGTAATATTTTGAAGCAGTGACGTTTTGGCAAAGTGGAAGTTGTTTCTAAATAAAAAACCAATATATTAAATACTTAATTAAGTGTCATAGAACAGAGCTCAGCTTAGTAAGAAAAATTTAGAGAGGAGCCACTGGAGGAAATTTAAGACAAGAAAAGGTCAGGAGACTTGAAGTGGAGTTGGGAAGAACAGGGCCTTGCTAATTGTAGGATTTCTGATTAAAAGCAGGCAGGGAGCTTACAAGCACTAGGTAGATATCATTTATGAGCTTTTAAAGCAGAGCCACAGAAATGAGGTTTAAAGTAAATGTTTTCTGGGCATTTTAGTTCACTCATTTATAAAAAACATACAATTATATGAGAATGTAAAATGACTAGAATAATCAAAACAATTTGGGGGGGAGGTAAAGGAACAAGGTTGGAGGATGTTTTCCTCCTGATTTCAAAAATTACTATAAAGCCACAGTTATCAAGGCACTGTATTACTTGCATAGAATGGACACATAGATAGGACAGAAGAGTCCAGAAATAGACCTGTACATTCTGACAAAGACATCGACACCGTTCACTGGGAAAACGATAGATTTAAAAAAAAAAACTGTAGTGGATCCAGTGGCCCAGGCCTGTAATACTGGCTACTCAAGAAGTAGAGATTAGGAGACTGATTTGAGGCCATCCCAGGCAAAAAGTTCCCAGACCCCATCTCATCAGAAAAGGTTGGGTTTGGTGGAGTGTGCCTGTCTTACCATTTATGGCAGGAAGTTTAAAGAAGAGTATGGGTCTTGCAAAAAGCAAGTCTGTATCTCAAAGTTAACAGATCCAAAAGGGTTGTAGGCATGACTCAAGTGGAAAAGCACCAGTTCAAACTGCAATACTGCCCCCAAACAAAGACTATGGTGCTAAGATAATCAGGATGTCCTCATGTACACAAAGATTAATAGAAAGTATAACATGTACTTATGTGTAGGAGCCAAAACAATAAAACTTAACAAGAATACTTAGGAGCAAAATTTTAAGACCTTGGGTTAAGCAAAAATAAGTAAATAAATATTATCAAAAGAAGCCAGCCAGGAGCCAGTGGCTCACCCCTGTAATACTAGCTATTTAAATGGCTGCGATCTGAGGACTGTAGCTCAAAGCCAGCCTGGGCAAGAAACTCTGTGATATTCTCATCTTCAATTAACCAAAAAAAAAGCTGGAAGTGGAGCTGTGGCTCAAGGGGTAAAGTAACATTCTTGAGCAAGCAAGTTCAGTGCTCAGGCCCTGAATTCAAGCACTATTTTGTGCATTCACGTGCAAGCGCACACGCTCACACATACGCACACACACACACACACACACACAGAATCAAAAGCATGGTCCATAGAAAAAATTAATTGGATCTCATCAAAATTCAAAACTTTTTTTTAACTTAAAAAGATACCACTGGACTTGGTGCTGTGGCTCAAGTGGAGAGTGCTTACCTTAACCAAAAGAAGCTCAGGGACAGTGTCTAGGCCCTGAGTTCAAGCCCCAGGACAGGTAAAAAAACAAACAAAATAAAACAAAAAGATACTACTAAGAAAATAAAAAGACTAGCACAGCGTAGAGAAACTATTTGTTATCACATATCTGATAAAGTACTTTTTCTTTTCATCCTAGAACTGCTCTAAAGAAAGAGTTACAGTGGCAAATATATTTAATTTACAAGTACTCTGAGGCTGCCTTAGGGTATATCTGCCTTAAGGTACAAAGGTTCTAGAAGATTAAAAGAGGAAAGGTAAAAAGTACTAGATAAGGTAAAAAAAAGTACTAGATAAGGTAAAAAAAAGGTGGACCCTTTGCAACACTGAAATGTACAAAAGGTTATGTCAAAAACGAACTTTACAAATTTGGTGGGGAGCGGGGCGGGGAGGATTGGGTGGGTGGGGGGAGGATGGGAAGAGATGGGAAGGGGAAACAAAGAGGAGGCCACAATGCTTGATAAGAATTGTACTCATTATCTTGCCCATGTAATTGTAACCCCTCTGTACAGTATTTTCACATTAAATAAAGCAGAAAAAAAAGTACTAGATAAGGTAAAATCCATGAATGAGTAGAACCAGGTTAGGAACACCCAGAACTAGTAAGGAAATGTGTGTGTGTGTGTGTGTGTGTGTGTGTGTGTGTGTGTGAGAGAGAGAGAGAGAGAGAGAGAGAGAGAGAGAGAGAGAGTATGTGTATCCTGGGTGCTGTTCTTGAGCTTTTTGTTCAAGGCTAGTGCTCTATCACTAGTCATAGGTCCACTTCTAGTTTTTTGAGGTTAAATGGAAGTAAGTATTTCATTGACTTTCCTGCCCAATCGGGCTTCAAACCACCATCCTCAGATCTCAGCATCTTGAGTAGCTAGGATTGCAGGCATAAACTACCTGTGCCTGGTATAATAAGGGAATTTTTAATACTTTTTAGCCTTACCAAGCAAAAATAGGCCTAAAGCTACTACCATGACTCTTGCAGAGAGAACAAACCTAGACAAGTCACTAAATGTATTAATATTTCATGCCAATGATACCAATATCTATATGTATACATTAATCTATAAGTATAGGCTAGAAAGAACTCCAAGTTCAGGATGCCATTGGGGTCCTCACAGATAAGCTTACAATTTGGGACAAACTGACCCGCTAGGCTAAGCTTGAGACCAACACATTTTACCTCCAAAAAACCTTTTGTTTTCTGTTGTTTCTCTGAGAAGTAGGGAAAGTAGGAACATATAAGATCTTGTAAATCTGTGATTTCATGCAGAGAAAGGAGTTTCTTTTCCTTACTTGTATTGTCCTGGGCGTTCTTCTCTTCTGGTGTTGAACTCCAGAGAAATTTTCGCATCCAGTCCAATTCCAAAATAGTTGTTCATGACACACTTTTCTTTGAAGCGTCTGAAATCAGTCAAGGGAAAAGACAAACACTAATGAAGAAAAGAAGTGCTTTTGCCGTTTGGTTTAGCAGATATCATCTCCATGGTTAAAAACCACTGAAAGATGGTCTTCTCTACATTGTGTATAAACAATGTTCTTGAGAGGTACATTGAGATTTTCTGTTGTATTAACACTTGATAACTGAGAGGACCACTAAGCTAGTTGGGAAGTTTCTGTGGGATTGGGACTTATAGTAAAGAAGTATCATTTATGATTTTAGCAATCTTTGAAGACATCCAATGTGAATAGCCATATATTTTTCTACAGGGAAATATCACTGGATTATTCCTATGACAAATTTTTGAGCATCCATCCCAGATAAAATGTATCTTGAGAGTTAAGTGTACATCAAAAGGCACATATTTGGGGACAAAAACTGAAAAAAGAGAGCATATAAGTACACAACAACAAAAAAAGTAAGTAGTTTTTTTTGTGTGTTACTTCCATATATCTAGTGTGTCATATCAAAACCCAGTACTGTGCTAGAGCCAGTTCATACTATGCATGTCAACTGATTATGCATAACTGTTCCCAACTGGGTTTTTTTGTGAAAATACTGTACAGAGCGGTTACAATTACATGGGCAAGGTAATGAGTACATTTCTTATCAAGCATTGTTACCTCCTCCTTTGTTTCCCCTTACCATCCCTTCCCATCTTCCCCACCCCCGCCGCTTGCTCCTGTCCCCCCACTTCCCACGCCAAAGTTGTAAAGTTCATTTTTCGACATAATGTCTTGTACATCTCATTGTTGCAATGGGTCCACCTGTATCTCTAGTTAAACAATTTGTTTATTTCCTTCCCCTCCACAAATTATACCAACATCAAATACAGTGAAAACAGGGTTTTTTGTTGTTGTTTTTTGTTTGTTTGTTTTGCTGGTCGTGAGGCCTGGACTCTGGGCCTGGACGCTGTCCCTCAGCTGCTCAGCTCAAGGCTAGCGCCCTACCACTTGAGCCACAGCACCACTTCCAGCTTTTTCTGCTTATGTGGTGCTGAGGAATTGAACCCAGGGCCTCATGCATGCAAGGCAAGCACTCTACCCCTGAGACACCTTCCCAGCCCTGTTCCCAAATTTTAATTCGAAGACATATCAGTATCAGTATCTTGAAATAGTTCATAGTGGGAGGGTTTACACAGGTAACAAATCAGTGCTTCTCTCCCTGGAGAGTGGGTTGTGAAACACTTGCAATGAATGTTGATCAAGCCTCATTAGTAAGATCACTGAGACCTCAGCCATGAATATAAGCTAATGGTGAAGTGCAAGGGAGTTGGTGGTTGGAGGTTAGGAGTAACAATAGTTTTCTTAAATTATTTAAGGAAACATAAATAATGGCTATTTGTGTTCTTTTGAGAAACTAGAAACAGGTATGTTTAGCTATTTAATAATAGGTAACATTTTAGAGATTTTTATCAGCACATATTAGTTGCATAAGGAAGAGTTTCATTGTGACATTTTCATATATATATATATATATATATACATATATATAAAATCACATTCATTCCCTCCATATTTCTCCCTCATCCTTTTTCCTCCTTCTTAAAACAATTTCAGCATGTTCCATTTTTGTATTTTTATACATAAAATACTTTGACAATATTTTCATTTGTCCTTTCCATTGGTCCTCTCTCCACTAATACCCATCTCTAACATGGCCTGTGATCCCTTTTTAATTTTAAAAATTTTAAAAGTAGCTGTTATCTTTTCAAATAGTTACTAAACTGACCCTACCTCTCACATAGAAGATTTACCTTCCTTCACCATAGTCCAGAAATTGGAGTTTCTCTATCTAATATCTAAACCAATGTTAACTGGACTCAAAAATAAATGAATGTGCCAGAATTTGACTGCTTGGAATAGTATAAGGAAGTAGGAGAGAGAGAGAGAGAGATGTCCTTAGATTTGCTACCTTGCCCCTTAAATAATCATTTGTTATTTAGAATCTTCAAGCATTTATAGTTGGTGCTGGTGGCTCATGCCTGTAATCCCAGTTACTTAGGAGGCTGAGATCTAAGGATTGTAGTTTGAAGACAGCACTGGCAGAAAATCCATGAGATTATTATTTCCAATTAACCAGCCAAAAAAAAGTAGAAGTGAAGGTGTGGCTCAAATGTAGAGCTCTAGACCTGAGTGGAAAAAAACAAGTAAGAGCACAAGACCCTAAGTTCAAGCCCCAGTTTTAGCACTAAAAGAATTACAATTAAGAGAAAAAGTAGAAAAATAGTTCTCCGAAGTAACAACTAACACTATTTATAACAATGTTAGTAACTGCTAAAACATATAACACTTAACTGTGGATACTCAACTCAAGAACTTTTCATATATAAGTAAAAAAACCTATGTGACAGTTTCTTTGTCATTATATGTGAGAAAACTGAGGATAACATTGGGAAAGGAAGTGGCACTGTGGCTTAAGTGGTAGAGCACTAGCCTTGAGCACAAAGAGGCCCAGGCCATGAGTTCAAGCCCCAAGACTGGAGAAATATATTGTATGGTTATATGCTATGACACTTTTGGCTGGGAATGTGGCTCAGTGGTAGAGTGCTTGTCTAGCATTCATGAAGCCTTGGCTTTGATTCCTTAGTACCACATAAACAGAAAAGGCCAGAAGTGGCACTGTGGCTCAAGTGGTAGAGTGCTAGCCTTGAGCAAAATAAGCTCAGGGACAGTGACCATTGCCCAGGCCTGAGTTCAAGCCCCAGGATTGGAAAAAAAATGGGTAAGTCATTATCTAGTTCATATGACTAGTAAAAACGAGTCAAGATTTGACTCTTAGTGAGAGGTGGGGTGGGGGTGTGACACGGAAATGGACAGTGGGTACCACCCTTGTCATGAGAGGCTAGCTAAGACCCGAGGAGAAGCTGCATCACCTTCCTTGCCAGTCATTCCCCACCCACCCACCCACCCCCAGCCTTCCCCGTTGACACCATGCTGCAGTTCTTGCTTGTATTTACTTTGGGCAACATGGTTGGTATTTATCTGGCTCAGAACTATGATATACCAAACCTGGCTAAAATAATTGAAGAGAGAGAGCAAAAAGGACTTCAAAGCTAAGAAGAAACCTAGTTCCTGAGGCACTCTCCAGAACTGCCCTTTGGATACACGGATTCTGCCCAGCTGCCCTGGAGAGCTCTTTCACCTATTTCGTCTCAGCCATTGCTTCCTTGCTAGACCCTTGGTGTTGCCTCAGAGCAGATACGGGGCCACAAGTTCAACCTCCTTTCTGCTTCCAACAGTCTTGCCTCTCCCCTATCTTCCTTCTGTCTACTTGGGAGGCTCTAAGACTGGAATTATGGTGTTATATTAGCAAACAAGACCTTTCCTTCATAGTTTCTCCCGTTCTTTATAATTTCTACTATCTTTTCTTAAAGAAAAATTGATGTTTTTTATAGCTGATCAAATATAAGTAATGCTGATTCCATAGTTTAGCAAATATGATGGGTGTTTGTTAAACACTTGTTACTAAATTTTGTTGCCTCAAAATAATTAGAATTAATGTATAGAAGCAAAAAAAGATTTGACGCTTATAAAAAATAAAAAAGTAAAAACGAGTAAAGAATTTTTTAAAAACCCAAAAGTAAAAAAAGAAATTGACACTTGATATTCTGATACTGTGCTCTTAACCAAACAAAGGAAGATACCATTAAAAGATAATCAGTTTAGAGCCAGTGCTCGTGGCCCACATCTGTAATCCTAGCTACTCAGGAGGCTGAGTTCTGAGGATTGAGGTTCTAAGCCAGCCTGGGCAGGAAAGTCCGTGAGACTCTTATCTCCAATTAACCACCAGAAGTATTGCTGTTGACAGTATCCAGGCCCTTAGTTCAAGTTCAAGTTGCAGGACAGGCACACACACACACACACACACACACACACACACACACACACACACACACACACACACAAAACCATAATAGGGGTTAAATACTTACATTGTTTCAGGATTAAAATGTAGATGTTCCAAGTTAAGGTTGTCTAGGTCCTCACTCTTGAGAGAAGGGATAGAAGACAGTGTACCATGAAGAGAACCTAGACACAAATATAACATTGGAGTCTGATGCAAACAAAAACCTCTTTCTCCCTACTTGTGCTCAACCCTGTTTTCTCTGCTGGAGGGAAGTTAAGCTCAATGACTTTCTGCTAAATAATATTCAGAGATCTCATTTGAAAGGGGAATCTTTTTTTTCCAGTCCTGGGTCTTGAACTCAGGGTCTGGGTACTGTCCTTGAGCTTATTTTGTTCAAGGATACCACTCTACCACTTGAGCCACAGTGCCACTTCCAGCTTTTTCTGTTTATGTGGTGCTGAGGAATCAAACCCAGGGCTTCATGCATGCTAGACAAGCACTTTACCACTAAGCCACATTCCCAGCATCTGAAAGGGGAATCTTCTTAGATGGACAGTGAAGCTGGGTGCTAGTGGCTCACACCTATAATCCTAGCTACTCAGGAAATTGAGATCTGAGGATCACCATTTGAAGCCAGCTGGGGCAGAAAAAGTCTGTAAGACTCTTATCTCCAAATAAATCACAGAAAAAACTGTAAGTGGTACTGTAGCTCAAGTAGTAGAGTGCTAGCCTTGAACCAAAGGAGCTCAGAGACAGCACCCAAGCGCAGAGTTCAAGCCTCAGGCAAAAATAAAAATAAAAAATAAAATAAAAAATAAAAAATACCAAGATTATGCTACTTGCTTGTTGGCAGTTAAAGCATTCCCTAATCTTGGTTCTCATAAGGATAGCCTGATATAAGATAATATAGAGCGATCTTATAGTGTGGGGTTTCTGGAAAAGAGGGAGGTTCCTCCCTCTACTTCAAAGAAGGATTATGGCTAATGAGGAATGCATAACAAATATGTATTTTCTTCTTGGGAACTAAATGACAGTGATGAAGGCTAGAATGTTAGAAATAAAGAGTCTTACGGTGTCTTGGGCTCATCTGGTTAAAATCTTCTGAGTCTTCATCTCCCAGGAGTAAAGTTGATGTAAAGTTCTTGACTGATATTGTTTGTCTGGTTTCCTTGTCCAGAACTACAAAAGACAGGGAGGGAGGATTAGTCACATTCATTGAACATTTTTTGAGCATCTGTGTAATGTATTAAATGTCAATCAGTATGTAGACAAGGAGACCCTCATTTTCACTACCACCTATCCTCAGTGATGCTTTAAGTACTTCTGGCTTCCATATTGCATTGTTGCCATGTCTTTTTCATGCCCAAACTTTCTGATTCCCTGGATACTCTGTTAATCACCTACCACACATGGTTGTGAGTAGAACCTTGAGTCCTGGGTATGGATAACAGAGTAGAAAATACTTTGCCCTTCTACTTTCATTCCATTCATTCATTTATTCACATGACTTGTCCAGCCATGTGCCTCTAGGATCATGCTACCCTTTTACTTAGATATCTCATCCATCCCTACCACATCTGAGGTAGTTCCTTCCTTTCAGCAATCTATATGTTTTATAGTTCTGGTTCTTAGCCTGTACCAAAGCTCGTACATTCAATCTGTCCTTTATAAGGAAGCATTTATTTGTCCCTTAGACACAAGATTCACTTCTAAATCTAATATATGTGTTAGTGAAACAGACTGAGGGTCAGTTGTGACAGTGATGGCTGTGTCAGATTAATCTAACTTTCATCATATAGAAATAAAGGCTACGTGTTTAATTCTTTCATATTGAAGAAGAGAAGTTTCCTTTCTTTCTTAGCAACATGGTTGAGGTTATATCTAAAGTTACCTAGACAGGTTAAGGTATCACAAATAAAAGTCAAAGGCCAGCCAAAGGGGATTCCTTTGCTTTATGGAACTTCTGCTTAATTTCAATAGATTAGTTGGTACAAAAATTTTACCAAAGATCAAAATTAGGATACTCTGAATCTTACACTATCTTACCACTCTGTTTTTCAGTCATGATAGGGAAGAGATAGTCACCAAAATGTTATATGAGGAAGTTGAGGCAGCTGGTTTTTTTATACTTAGTTTGAAAACTATCAAGTGTTCTGAGCAATGGCAATCTGTGTCAGAGCCACCAGGATACCTCTTGGGGCCATTATGCCCAATTAATACTGTCAGACATGCAGAGATGAGCACCATTTTTTAAACAAAATAGTCATAGGCTAGTGAGTAGACCTGATGGTTAGAAAAAGACACGAGCATGTAGAAAAAAAGTCCATGACTACAGTTGAAATCCCACAGAGCTTTGAGCCAGGCCACTTAGCACTTGTAATTGTTTAGTGTGAATGTTCTCAAAATAACTAAGAGGGCTGGGAAGGTGGCTCAGTGGTAGAGTGCTTGCCTTGCATGCATGAGGCCCTGGGTTTGATTCCTTAGCACAACATAAGCAGAAAAGGCCAGAAGTGGGGCTGATACTCAAGTGATAGAGTGCTAGCTTTCAGCTGAAGAGCTGAGGGACAGCACTCAGGCCCAGAGTTCAGGCCCCACGACCAAATAAATAAATAAATAAAATAACTAAGTAGAGATAGTTGAGAGGTTAAGAGGAAGAAGGAGTCAAAGGAATTGCTTATAGGGACTGATTGTAACTTTTCACATGAGTTGTCTGAGGACTGACTTCATTAAAAAATACTTTTTTTAAAGACTGACTTCAAGTGAAACATGAATGCAGAATCTAGGCAAGCTTTTGGTAATGAGGTCAGATACTGTTCAATCCATTGAAACTTTCTCTTTCCCCTACCCAATTCCCACACACCTGGTGTTCTTACCTTGTTCAACTTGGAATATGATGAGTTTCAAGGATTTCTGGAGATTCTTGGCTCTTGTGGCCAGATCCAACTTGCATTTGGTTATTTGGTCCGTTTGAGAGACGAAGAAGGGTGTTCCACTTGCTATGCCATCATCTTCACTTTTCTCAGCTGAGGTAGCTGCTGCCTCCTCAGCCAGGATATCAATCAGGACACTGAGCTTATCATACATTAAGTCACTCTAAAAATGAAGAAACAAGATGGGACATTGTCATGAAGGACCAGTGCTTGAGAGGACAGAATGAGGAATATGGCCATAGTTGCACAGAAATGCTGAGCACACAAAGTCATGTGTGAGGTGATGAAGTACAGAGGGGTAAAAAATATACGGGTAGATGTGATACCAAATGCATGATAGTGGAGCAAATACATTAGTTTCTGAGCAGCCTGAAACATCTATATAGGTTTCCTAATCTATCTCAAGTCAGATTGGCCTATAAAGTGATGATGCATAACATGGCAAGTTTAAGAAAGAAACATGTCTACAGTGGCACATGCTTCTATAGATATGAATGTGCCTATATATATATATATATATATATATATATATATATATATATATATATATGATTGAGGTTGTAAATCTGTTGCATGAGTTAAGACATTGATTCCTAGAGCCATCATTTAATGGATGAATATGATGTAAGGTAGGTTACTTGTTCTTGAATGAGCAAACTTTTATTGTTTTAATAGTAATCATAGAAAGTACAGATTTTGTAATTAGTAAAGAACTGATCACAGTTTTTTTTTCCCTTCCCCTACTTCCCTCTTCCAGATAAGAGCAGCTTCTTCTTCACTGAGTTCCCAAAAAGATTTCTGGCAGACTTGCTCCTTTGTCAGACTGATTAATCCTTTTTTTTTCCTTTGTGCCATTACTGGGGCTTGAACTCAGAAGCCTGGGCACTCTCCCTTAGTTTGCTCAAGACTGGCATTCTACCACTTAACCCATGCCTCCACTTCTGGCTTTTTGTGATTAACTGGAGATGAGAGTCTCATGGACTTTTCTGCCTGAGCTGACTTTGAACTGAGATCCTCAGATATCAGCTTGTTGAGTCCCTAGGATTATAGGCACATGAGTCACTGGTCCTGGAATATTCATTTTATTAAAAACTTTATTTGAATTCAATATATCATAAAATCTATCCTTTTAAAGTGCATGTAATTTGATAGTTTATAGTATATTCACAATGTTATATAACCATCACACTATCTAATTTTACAAGATTTCATCCTTCCAAAAGTAACCTACTACTCATTATCAGTCATTCTCTATCCTACCCTTTATATTACTACTCATCTACATTGACCTCTGTGGATTCAGGCAAGTTACTTAACTGTGTTCATCCATACTCTACAACAGCTCTGAGAATTAAATAATTTAACAAACACATCAGAAGCATGCAAAATCTTCTCTGGTACAGAGTAAGTTCTATATAAGTGTTGGCTAGTGTTATAGAGGTGAATATAGGCATATTTCTAGTGTGTATTTGTAGGCGTTTATTTCCAAAAATCATCTCATTTATAACCAGAGTGCACATATATACTTGGGTGTATGCTGTGAGTGGATGCTTGTGGCACTTGTGTTATGAATGTATAGCGTAATTTTCCATTTGGCAAAGATGGAAAATGATGAAATTGGACCTTCTCTATTAAGAAGGCTACTAGCTGCCTCTCTCTGTCTTTCTTTTACAATTTCCAGTAAGAGGCACATTTGCTTTTATTGAAAAGAGGATCTTGGTTCCACAAAGAATATAGACAAAAGGAAAAGAAACTTTCTTTCTTTTTTTTCTTGTCAGTTGTGGGGGCTGGGCACTGTCCCTTAGCCCTTCAGCTAAAGGCTAGCACTCTACCACTTGAGTGTCAGCGCCACTTCCTCCTTGTTCTGCTTATATGGTGCTAAGAAATCAAATCCAGGGCCTCATGCATGCAAGGCACCTTCCCACCTTCCCAGCCCCAGGAAACTTACTTTCAAAATCACAGACTCTACTGCTGTGTTGTTCTGCTTTATCTGCTGCCAGGTCTTTACAATATCAATCACAAAATCTTCTGCTGAAGAGCACAGGAACCTGGAAAGATAAGATAGAATGCATGATGTGCTGTGCTCTGTAAATCCCAGAGCCCTTTTATCTTATAAAATCATTAGTCTCTCTTTCTCTTCCTCTTTGTTTCTTTTCTGATCTCCCCTCATCACTTCCTTGATTTTTTTTCCCACTGTACTTATGGCCAGATAACTTCTATCTCCATTTAATTTTCACACCACTTCTTACGTGAAATACTTAAGGCAGATTGACTGGCATTTCTTAGTCCTATTTCTGAATCTCCAGATTCATCTCTGGTCAGACATTTTATTCTGCATTAGTCAGCTGAGATAATAAAATACAAACATAGTGACTTTAGGAGAGCTCTTTTGTGAAGAGTATTACTCAAATGAGAGTTCTGGAAGGAATAAATGATCCACATAGAAGGGAGGATATGTTACTAAGTTATACAATAGCTGCTAGTTATAAATAAGTGCTACAGAGACCTTTTCCAGTGTCAAAGATGGAAAACAAGGTGTCTATACTGTTGAATGGTCTGGCATGTTGTGCTTCTCTTTGTAAGGTCTGCACAGGGACACCTCCCTACCTCTTGTCTAAGTTTCTGCCCAGTATCTGTTACCTAGGTAACTGGCAGACCTGGAAGCAATCACCTTCCCCTCTTGCTAGGTCACATCATGGGCCACCTCTAGTCACATACCTCCCATCTGACATTAGGAGGGTCCCTGACCCTGAAGTCACATCCGGAATCAGTGTGGCCACACCTTTCCCCCACCTAGCCACACCTCTTCCTGTCCCTCCCCTAGATAAATCCTGACCTAGGGTGGGTCACCCCCTTTCCTTTTCAGCCATGCCTCTCCACTATGCACGCTGGGGGCAGCAGTTCAGTAAATAAATGTCCCCAGTTCAGTAAATAAACTTCTTCTCCTGTCTGAATAGCGCTTGATGTTCTCTTCATCAGCTACCTAATGAAACCTACTTATTTAATATACCTTACATTCTTCTGTAACATTCCTTCCAAATACCTGGCTTATGACTTTGTCTTTTTAGAGCAGCAGGAAGCCTCACCTGAATTTCATCTTTCTTTCTTAAACTTTCTTTTTCTTTTTTTTTGGTCTGGTCATGGGGCTGAACTCTGGGCCTGGGCGCTATCCCTCAGCTCTTCAGCTCAAGGCTAGCGCTCTACCACTTGAGCCACAGCGCCACTTCCGGCTTTTTTCTTTTTGCTTATGTGGTGCTGAG